ATTAACGGAATGACCATCGGTGGGCAAAAAAGCAATGGGAGTAGGAATGACTTCTGACTTCCTGCCATCTTCCCCATTGACTTTGCTTGTAAGAAGCTGGCAGGGAGCATTGAAAATGATAATGATGCGACTGTGGCTGATTATGGCAGCATGGCAGCACCGAAACAGCCATAATTTCCCCAAATTTCAATTCTATGGGAATCATGGGTCCTGGATTTTGGATGCATTCTGTAAGTTAGCCCATTTTAAAATACATTGATTAAAAATTGTTGACTTATGATGCACCTTTTCACCTAACTGAAGGTTATAAACAGTCAAACAGATATGAGAGTTTTATTACCAGTAGTATATAAATGTTGATGGTTTTACATAAACAACCAAAGTGTATGAAGGCTTGAAATACCACAAGGTCCACCTTTTTCTTTGTGAATTAATATTGTTATAGCAAGTTTGGTGGTTGAAGATTTTTTACAACTACATTTCCTAATTTGTGCACTCCTTTTTTGCGCTTAGTAAATGATTTGCTCATATTCATATTGCAAAAATGAAATGATTTCCTTGTTTTGGTCCTCTTCATAACATTAGGGATAAATACATTTCTGTTTTTAGATGGCCAGTTGTTGAAGTGTTGAACTATAATGGCGTCAAATAATATTAAAATAAAATACTACATAACATGCATTATATTCATCAATAAATAATTATTAGATATGAAAGAAATGCAGCAAGAACAGCATTAACAAAATCCATAAAGAGTGTCTCCAGAATTTATACAATTAAAATAACACCAGATTTTAACTAATTAATTAAAAATTAATTGATAAATTAATCTAATCCTTCTAAGGTATACTGTTATAATTAATTATCAGTAGCACTGTTTTTAAGAAAATCTGTACTGCAGCATTGCAAATATATCTGAATGTTTTGGGCAGGAATGGATTGAAGCTTATTTCTTTGTAGTATTAGACATAGAACAAACATATAAAAGCTTTTATTTAAAACAGACCTTAAAGCAGGTGTGTCCAATCCATGGCCCATGCATGGACAGCTAATAAAGTGGCCCCACAAGATAATAAAAAATAAAGGAAGTTTGTTATTTGTATACATTAAATATATATTTTGGGTGCAGCTCAAGACAATGTGTCTTCAGTTAGTGCAGTCCAAACAAGTCTAAAGGTTGGAAAACCATGTGTTACTCAGGGACACAGAAAAAATAGAATAAGCTTCCTGCTGAAGTAATGGAGAAACATAATTTCTATATCCATCATATTTAGATATTGTCTATGTGATACTTTGTGACATGTGGAAGATGTTGCATAAATATAAACATTGAATTGATGTTTGCTTCTGTGTATTTTGCAGTGTAATAAATAGGTATTTGAATAAACAGGATTTGATATCATTAAGAGTTTTGCTAATATATATTGTTTTACTTTTTATTTGTTAGACTCCAATTCATTTGGGCAAGGAGCTCAGAAAATCTTCCTATAACAAAATATATCATACTGTTACCCAATGCCTTCTTTTTTTTAATTACAAAATACTTTTAGGGGCAATGCTTTCACAAAAAAAAAGGAACTGAGGAAAACAAATCTTAGTGCTTTTTAGATAGCTGCTTTTCCCTGCAAAATGCCACTCCTTGACTTTCTCAGCCCTCTCTTATTTGGGATTCAGTTATTTTGCAGAAGGGAAATGCTGCTGGCGAAAGTTTTGGAAAGAAGGAAGTGGCTAAGAAGGGAAAAGCCACCCAATTCCGCTTTTTTTTGATGTTATCATGTGTGACTGCAGCATTTCATAAAATTTGGCCTTTGGGGGAATCATCTGTGTTGTTGGATCCATTGTAATAAGTTCTGATTTTATCTAAAATCAGATGTTGACCATTATGCAATAATCTTGATTAAAAATATATAATTCAGGATTGAGTCCATTCAATATAGTTGCTATAGGAAGGGCAAATTTATTATATATTTATCAACTGTGGTGGGGACCATCTGATCAATTTGTACCATATATTTCTGCATGCTTATAAGCAGCATAGTGGAGGTGTTACAGCAAGATTATAACACAACTATAAAGCTTGCATGGAAACTGCAGTGGATTAATCCATATACAGGTAGACCTTGAGTTAGGACCACAATTGAGCCAAAATTTATGTTGCTAAGTGAAACATTTGTTAAGTGAGTTTGCCCCATTTTGAGATTTTTCTTGTCACAGTGATTAAGTGAATCATTGAATTTGTTAAGATAGTAACAGGGCTGTTAACTGAATCTGGATTCCCCATTGATTTGCTCTTCAGAAGTTTGCAAAAGGGGATCACATGACCCCAGAACACTACAATGGTATAAATATGAATTAATTGCTAAGCATTCAAATTTGACCATGGGGATACTACAATGGTTGTGTGAAAAATGGTCGTAAGTCACTTTTTTCAGTGCCATTATAACTTTGAACGGTCACTAAAAGAACTGTTGTAAGTTGAGGACTACCTGTACAAAGTTCCTTTAGTTCAATGTTGTTGAACTAAACTTTTTAAGATGCATGGAATTCAACTCCATGTTGGCTGGGGAATTCTGGGAGCTTTAGTTGATTTATCCTAGCAGACGTTCATTTAAAGTCAGGATGCAAATTATCCCAAAAAAATGTTTTCTTGGATAAAACCTGAGAAGTGGCACCTTTTTTACCTTTTAGAAAGAAAAAGATATCATTTCCTCTGTGGATGGAAAGAAAAAGGTATCATTTCCTCTGTGGATTGTGTCATTGAAAGCTTTGCATAGATTTAAAGGTTAAGAGGCTTCCTTCAAAGGGGATTTCCATAATTTGTATTTTTATTTATTTGTATGTTTTAATCCCACCTTTATTACTTTTACAAATAACTCAAGTTGGTGAACATATCCAACACACATTCATCCTCCTATTTTTTCCACCCTGTGAGAGAGGTTGAGCTGAGAGTGTGATTAAAATCACCCAGCTGGCTTTCATGGCTAAGGAGGGATTTGAATTCATGGTCTCCCGCTTTCTAGCCTGATGCCTTAATCACTAGATCAAACTGGCTGTCAATTTGGTGTTGACAAAAGACAATTATTACATTTGTTCAAATGTATTCCACATGATACTCTAGCTAGATGGATAAGTCTTTATAGTTTAATAAGTTGTGTTTGTGGTGAGCAATATAGGTTTCAGTCAAATGATAGGAAAGAATGATATTCAGTAAGTCACTCTTTAGGATTGTATCTTGATTCTGTGTAACAAATAAGTAGTTGTTTTATACATAATTCCCTGGAGGCAGTGGTGAAATGTAAAATTTGTTACTACCGGTTCTGTGGGCGTGGCTTGGTGGGCAATAATATGACTGAGTGGGCGTGGCCAACTTTTTTTTTTTTACTTTTAAAAGCATTTTTTCTACAACCTCTTTGGCTGAAGAGGTTGTAAAAAAAATGCTTTTAAAAGCCTCTGACCCCACCTGACTTGCCTGATTGGCAGAGGCTTTTCTTTTTTTTTAAAGCTCTGATGATCCCAGCTGACTTGCCTGATCGGCAGAGGCTTTGTTTTTACTTTTAAAAGCATTTTTTCAGCCGAAGAGGTTGTAGAAAAAATGCTTTTAAAAATAAAATAAAAAGCTTCTGATGATTGTGGGGCTCAGCTGGGCATGGGAGTGAGGAGGGATTTTTGCTACCGGTTCTCCGAACCACCTGCTGCCATTGCTACTGGATCGGGCGATCCGGTCCGAACCGGGAGCATTTCACCCCTGCCTGGAGGTGGCAATTTTCATTTTGATTTAAGATAATCAGAAAAAAAATCACAATGTGTTAAAAAGCAGATTTCTTTTTAGTTATAAAAATCTGATATTCCTGTTTCTATGATTGGGATGTTTATGAGAGTTCGGACTACTGTGCCAAATCCATTGAAGAACTCCTTTTTAGATTGAATTTTTGTGTTTGTGTAGTTTCAACCATCCTTAAGGCCGTGCATACCCAAGATCCTTTTTTGTGTGTTCATAAATTTTACACACAGCTGTTGTATTAAGTCTATACCTGTGCCATTTGAAAGTGTGTGGTTTAGTTTCAGATGTTTTGCAAACGGAAAATAAACTGCTTCTTTGTACTGAAAATCTTCCAGCTGTGCTAGTTTTGATTCTTTTTTTTATATAATGGGGGGAAGAATGAGGAAGCATGCATGCCTTACTTCTGATTATTATCAATTTGATTCTGCTGAATTTCTTTTATTGTGAGCTGTAAATTTAGCCCATTTTTTTTCCAAATTTGGCAGAAAATAGTTGCACAAATCGCTGCCTATACTTTTGTATACCCTCTTTTCTAGTGCATTTGTTTTCATGCATCATCTGTAGGCTTCAAAAATATATTTTTTAAATAGGACAGAATGTTTTTGAATGTAGTTTATCTTGGCTATGCTCTTCTAGGTGTAATTTGAGATGAGAATCTTGCAAATCACTGAACCAAATTACAAAAGAGTTCTCAAAATTCTGAGGGACCTGGTTTCTCACCTTTCCTTGCAGCTAACTTCCAAATTTTTAGAAATAAAAGTGGCAAACTTGGATGCTAATACACTATACAGCTGAAAACCTTGCAGTGGCAATTTTATATTCTATTATTTATCCAGTATATTTTTAATTAGTACATATGCCATAGCCATCTTATTCTGCAAGCTTTCGACTTCCTCCCAAGGCAATGGCTACGAAAACTCCACAATAGTTGTTCAGGGAAGCTGCTGCTACGACTTCCAGAAGTAACATTTTTGGAACCATAGAAGTTCTGACCTGTAATTAAATTTTAAATTCCTTTTCTATTGCAGAATATCTTGGCCTAAAGAGAACTTTTTTCCCATTAATATTCATTAATTTGATCAAATATTTATTGACGCATGGGGATACCTTTAAATAATAACAGTGAGATATTGAATGACATGCTTTGGACTTTGTTTTGTTCAGACTATTCTGCAAATGGTTAAACAATGACCAAACAGTCTCTTTGCTTGTATTTCAGATTTCATGTAAAAGCATCAGAAAGATTGGCAGCCAGATTGATGTGATATCTGTGGAAAATGAAGTAAAGCAACATGACTAAGGCTTATTTCTCATTCTGCAATTATACTGAGCAAGGGCTAAATTGGCTCTAATTACTCTGTGATTTTCAGCTTTTTCTTGACAAACCAGAAAGGTAACCTTTTAATTTATTATCATAGTTTAGGCATATCTCAGGGATAAGGCACTTTCTACCAAGCATGTGTAATATCCGTGTTGAACTGGTTTTGATTCAGAGTAGGATTCCAATCCAATCTTGCCAATGTCCCCAAAAAAAGGCTCTACCCTTCTATTGCTAGCAGAAATAAGGCCTTGTAGATCGTATGGTTTTGTTTTTTTCCCTTTGAAAACTTCCTTATTACAGCATTTGGTTATGTTTCTGTATTTTTTTAAGTACAGAATATGGCACTTAGTTTTAATAAAAGCAATTACAACATGATATTTTAGAGGGCTAAAAGCCCTGGAAAATGAAAGATCTTGCTGTCAAAACTCTGTGGTGGTACTGTTTACCGCAGCAGTTTTTAAAGAAAGACCGAAGATCCCTGGAAGATTATCAAAAGTTTCTAAATGAAAAAATCCATTACATCCAATCAATTTTCCTGAAGGATTCGCAGTAATTATGAGTAGTGAGTCAGCATAGGAGAATATGCCTTTTAGTGATCATTTCAAGTATTCAGGGAATCAAGGTGAAAACCAACATGCTTAGTTAAAGTTACATGTAAGTTGAAGATATGAAAGATCTCCGTGTCTTTCTACTATCGTGTGGTAGATTAGCAAAGTTTATAGTTGCTGAAGAAAGAATTTTTTTTCAGAGCAAAGTTTGAAATCCATTGCTTCCTATTTTAAAGCTTTCTACTCTGTTAGCTTTCTACAGTCTTTCCTGTTAGTTTTGTTCCTCTTGTGGTCAAAATGAAACAGATGTTAAAAATTGATGCTGCCTGAAAGGTTCAGGAAATAAACTGAAGAAAGGAGTAGCACATTTTAAATCAGGCTTGGACCTAGGATCTGATTTATTTATTTTTCTATGTGAAGGGCTTTAGCACCAGGATGAAACAAAATATTGTACGTTGTTGCAATTGTAATTTGTTTTGACTGCCTTCTTCGTTAAGAATTTGACTCATTTCTTTAGTTTTGGTATTATGATTATTTTAATATGGTTTTGTTTTGTTCTGTTTTGATGTATAAAATGAGTTTTCTGTGTACTATTTGTCAGCTGAGCATAGTTATTTGTTTAAAATAGATGGCCAATATACTTTTTTAAAAAATAAAATAAGGTTAAATTCACACCTGCAGCCAGAGTGGGAGACCCCTAGTGGAAGGGAAAAGAAACATTTGTTAAAAGAATTAAAAGAACACACTGTCACTGCAGGATAATATAACAAGTCATACAGCATTATAGAAAGAGGTATTTGGATGTAAGTATGTAATACGGGCAATATTGATTTGTATTAGGTACTTTTATTAAGTATTTGTTCCAGCAGGGCTTAGCACCTGGCCTATACTTTTTTAAAGCATACTTTTATTTAACTTTAAAAAATACTAGCAGTTAATATTTATTTAAAAACATTAATTATTTATCATTCTTTATGTAATCAAACAGCAATATAACTATACAACTATATTACTATTGTATAAAAGACTATAAAAAAGAAGTCTAATCTATTATATGAAAAAATATAAAGTGGGGGGGAGGGGGAAACCATCATATATTAAACCATCGAGGAGAAAAGAGAAAAGGAAAAATGACACCTGCCCTGAAAAAAATCAAACCAAAACATAAAATTAAAAATAGAAGAGAAAAATCCCACATCTAAATTACATTTTAATTCTAATTCTTTATGTAGAAAAAAAGGTTGTTATCAGTCAATTAAAATTATATAGCCTGCTTTAATTTTAACATTAAGACTCAGTTTTTTAAATTCTAAGTTAAATCTAGTCTGTACAGTACTATATTGTCCAGTCTTGCCTCCCCATCTGTTCAGATCCAAGTCCAGCTTAGTTAAGTTGATTTACCTTGTTTGGATTTGGCTTCTGAGCAGGATTGGTCCTTGGTCCTTGGATAGGAGATGACCTCAGAAGACCAGGACTATGGGCTAGGAAGTCAAAAAGAACATGGCTAGAAGCCAGTGGCAAACCACTTTTGCATTACTGCCCATGTGCCTATGAAGTCCAAAGGAGTCAGCGTGACTTAAAAGAGATTCAGCTTTTGCTATTACGATGAAACAGTGTTACCATACAGATGCTTAATAAATTTATGGTTTATCTTATAAATTGTTATCTGTTTTATATTAACTTGAAGAAAGGATTGTGAGTCATTTCACCTCTGATCTTTGGTGTCTACTGTGCAATGTTACCAGAAAAATTAAAAGCATTTGAAATAACTGTCATTGTGGTCCTAGTAGGGTTAGAAATTTCAAAAGATTTGAATCGGCCATCTACAACCTGTGAGTCTTTCGATATCTCAGATTATCTTTAGAAATGTAGACTAAAATTATCCTGAATCCTTGCCACCAAGAGACCTCATTGTGATGCTGGTGGGCATGATGGAAATTGTTGCTTGGTTGATTTAACAAGCTGAATCCTTTAAAACAGGACAGTGTTTTTTTTTCCTTGCTGAAGAAGCTTCTGCTCTTCATGCTACTTTCTAAACATTTCTCTTGGGGCCAATTATTAGAGCAAACACTAGTGTGCCAGGGTGGCATCTTAGCTTGCCAGAAAAATAACCAAGAAATCAAAATAATTCCAAAGAAGAGAGTTGTGTTTCTGAAGAAAAGGTTTCTTTTTACTGTAAGGGATTCATATTAACCAATAATATCCATCCTTGCATTAAAAGGCTGTACGAAGGCATAATCTAACCAGGGAGACCAGCATGCTTGGGACACAGAGTCTCTTCACAGGCTGAAAGATTATACAACTGGGGTGGGAAGGTGAGGGGAGAAATATGTTTACACCACATCATCTGAGGGTACTATTTAGTTTTGGGGTGGGACACACCAAATTTTTTCATCTTGCTTTGTTTGTGTATGTGAGAAAGTGTGAGTGAAACTTGCTAATTTTAGCAGCTCATGGATACAAGAGATTGTTTTGTTAGTCAGATACCGTAATATATGTGTTACAAAAGCCCTGCTTGCTTCCATTAAAAATGGATGTAGGAGCACCTTATCTGAGTGAAGTTTTAAATAACGGACAAAATGGTCAGGGAAAAAAAAACGTTGTTTGACAAGGGCTTTTCAATGTTTTAAGCAAAGCTTCAGTAGCACTCCTATATATGGTATATGGTGGGGATCAGGAAAAAAAAAAGACAAATATTTAAAAAGTTCCCAAAATAGCATAGGCTTGGGAATAAAGAACATATTGCTCATTACAACACTCATTGGCATTGCTCAGAAGATGCCCCAGGGGGAAAAAAGAGGAGGATTAGCCCTAAAACTAGGGGGAAAAGTAAGGGAGGGATTCTAAAGTGCCAGTTAAAAATATTTTGAAATAATGTTCCTTTGTCAAGAGGGTTCTAAAAATAAATAAATACAGAAAAATCCACCAATAAATATGCAGCACACATACAAAGCACATTACGTGTTACCAATCTTACATTCACACTTAAAAATTCATATGAAAGCAAACTTTAAGTTGCTTCTTATATCTTCCAATTTGGAAGAAATCCATAGGATCATGTGTTAGAGAGAGAGAACATGGTAGCTATATCTGGAAAGAACGATAAACCAAAATTCTTCTTGTCATATTCACAAACTCTGTAAAATCATATGGAAGAGCCTTTACTAATCTCTTTGGATGGAACTGACCCAACAATACTGAATCTGTCATCTGAAGTTGGACCTCTGCCTTGGTGTGTTGCTTGGAAGTCAAGCATCTTAAACTAAGCAAGCAGACTGTATTAGGCAGAAGACATATATATCTATTCTTAAAGCAAGTAAAATAAAATGGGATCAAAAGGACTGTATATATAACCACATGACTTGTGAAAAATAAATGATAAACCCAGTTTCTTCGGACTTCTGAAGTTTATTTTTCTTGTATGAACAAAGCCAGACTATTTCTATTAAGCAATTTCAGATCACAGTATCTTTATACTAGGATCTCTCCCCAAAATCTAAAAATATCCCAATAGCTTATTTAAAATGCTGTAGCCAAGACAGCGTGTTTTGAAACCTAGAAGGGATGAATAAGAAAAACATAATCTGCCAGGCAGTACTGATTTTCTTAAGCATTCTATTTATGGCTGAAATTAGCTTGAGTTGAAGAATCAATTTTATATATATGGATTTCCAGAGAGAGCATTAATCTCTGAAACTAGATAGATGATTTTATAACACACACACACACACACACACACACACACACACACACACGTTGACAAGGACCAGGAGACAGCAGTGGTGATAGATGTAGTGGTGCCAAGTGAAAGCAACATCACTTGGAATATTAAAGGAGGAATATTAAAAGCTGCAGAAATACCAGGGGCCTGAAGGAGGAACTAGAGAGAAAGTGGTCCCAAGTGGTAGTAGGATCACTTGAAGCTGTGACTCCTAAGCTGGGAGAATGGCTCCAATAGATCCCAGGAACAACATTGAAGCTCTCTGTCCAGAAAAGTGCAGTACTAAGAACAGCTTAGATACTTTGCACAACCCTCAAGCTCCCTAGAATAGCAAATGTCATGTCTGTATAGTTTTCATACATCTTGAGGATTGGTGGATAGCATAAATTGGCAGTGATAGTTTTGCTAGTGAAAGAAGACCCTGTGGAACAGAAATGTCATTGTTTTAAATTTGTTGGTATTCATAGTGAATACTACATGTCAACTGTTGTAGATACACTGTTTTGTCTCTTGATTAATTTTGAGAAGATAAATAGGTTCGATCCAGCTAAGTAGAGATAGAAGGGACCATTAGGAAGTCGTATACTGGATGGTCAAAACAAGAAGGCAGTAGCAACTGATTTTCATTTATTTCCAAGAAAACTACATGGTTGTGTCCATGACACCAGCAGGAGTCAAGCTAGATTTGAAAAGAGAGTTTATTTTTGCACTATTGACAATGTTGTTTCTGAAAAGGATAGTTTTATATATTGTAAACTAATTTATATTGTTTGTTTATTTAACAATATCTACCCGGTTTCCCTGAAAATAAGACATCCCCTGATAATAAGCCCAATTGGGCTTTTGAGTGCATGCGCTAAAATAAGCCTCCCCCTGAAAATAAGCCCTCCCTGAAAATATTTAAATGCAGAGCTGGAAATCAGGTAAAATGGCAAGAGGAGCCCCATCTTGCTCCATGTGCCCCAAAATAATAAGACCTTCCCGAAAATAAGGCCAAGCGCTTATTTCAGGGTTCAAAAAAATATTAGACAGGGTCTTATTTTCGGGGAAATATAGTATGTACCTTCCAAATTTGAATGATTCTGGGCTGCATAAACAATACCAGAAACCATTGCAATGAAATCAAAATCAATTACATCAATTAAAATGATGCCCACAATTCCTCACTAGAGAACAAAGTCTGCTGAAACAAAAAAGTTTTTAGTACTTCATAAAAAGCCAAGAGAGTTAGATCTGGATGTCCCACAGAGGCAGTATAGTATGTTCCTTAAAGAGGGTGCTATTACAGAGAAGGCCTCCCTTTCAGCCTTCCTGCCCACTTTCACTCCCTAGATAGGATAGACAGGATCGTGTTCGTCATGGCAGCCCCTAATATATCCTACTTCAACAATATATAAAGCTTTATAGATAATAAATAATAAGGTTCCTGATAGGTTCCAAATGGAGCTTGGGCCATTCCCTCAGACTCTGGCTTACGACTCGACGGAAGACCTCGTGGCCGCCTGGGATAGGGCGGCCGCTGGTGCTTTAGATCGGGTCGTGCCTTTGCGGCCTCTGACCCGGCGCCGAATCGGCCCAGCTCCTTGGTTCTCCGAGGAGCTGAGGGAGATGAAGCGCTGGAAAAGACGCCTAGAGAGTAATTGGAGGGCTAGTCGTTCCGGATCTGATCAAGCACTAGTGAGGTCTTATATCAAGACCTACTTAGTGGCAATAAAAACGGCAAAGTGTAACTACTTTTCCGCTCTTATCGCGTTGGCAGATAATGGTCCAGCTGCCCTGTTTAGGGTGACCTGCTCCCTTCTCCACCTGGGAACGCAGGAAGACCCCTTGCAAGGGCGTGCTGAGGATTTTGTGCATTATCTGCATGATAAAATCACTCAAATTCGGGACGGCCTGGACTCCTGACTGGGTGGGTTCAGGCAAGGTGCCCGAGGCGGGTCTTGAGAATGTTATCTGGGAGGAGTTTGATCCTGTGACTCCCGAGGACGTGGACAGGATGCTGGGGAGGTTGAATGCAACCACATGTTTATTGGACCCGGGTCACTCCTGGCTGGTGCTGGCTACCCGGGAGGTTACACAAGGCTGGCTCCAGAGGATTATAAATGCTTCTTTGAGTGAGGGTTTCTTACCTCCCGCCTTGAAAGAGGCGGTGGTGAGGCCCCTCCTCAAGAAGCCCTCTCTGGATCTGGCTGTTTTGGCAAATTACCGTCTTGTCTCCAACCTTCGCTTTGTGGCGAAGGTTGTTGAGAGTGTGGTTGCGCGACAGCTCCCACAGTACCTGGATGAAACTGTCTATCTGGATCCGTTCCAGTCCGGCTTCAGGCCTGGGTACAGCACGGAAACGGCATTGGTCGCTTTGGTTGATGATCTCTGGAGGGCTCGGGACAGGGGATGTTCCTCTGTTCTGGTCCTATTAGATCTCTCAGCGGCTTTTGATACCATCAACCATGGTATCATGCTGCGCCGGCTGGAGGGGTTGGGAGTGGGAGGCACCGTGCTACGGTGGTTCTCCTATCTCTCCGACCGGTCGCAGTCCGTGTTGGCTGGGGGGCAGAGGTCGACCTAGAGGCACCTTGTTTGTGGAGTGCTGCAAGGGTCGGTCCTCTCGCCTCTCCTGTTCAACATTTATGTGAAGCCGCTGGGTGAGATCATCCGTGGATTTGGGGTGCGGTGCCATCTGTACACTGATGACACTCAGCTGTACATCTCCACCCCAGACCACCCCAATGATGCCCTTGAAGTGATGTCCCGGTGCCTGGAGTCCGTGCGGGTCTGGATGGGGAGGAACAGGCTCCGACTCAACCCCTCCAAGACCGAGTAGCTGTGGCTGCCGGCGTCCCGATATAGCCAGCTGGTGTCATCGCTGGCTATTGGAGGTGAGTCATTGGCCCCCACGGAGAGGGTTTGTAACTTGGGCGTCCTCCTGGATGCACTGCTGTCTTTAGAAGAGCATATGACGGCTGTGGGCAGGGGGGCTTTTTATCAGGTTCGCCTGATACGCCAGTTGTGTCCCTTTCTGGATCGGGACTCCTTATGCACGGTCACTCACGCCCTCATCACCTCTCGCCTAGACTACTGCAATGCTCTCTACATGGAGTTCCCCTTGAGGAGCACCCAGAGGCTCCAGCTGGTTTAGAAAGCAGCCGCGCGGGTAATTATGGGGGCGACATGGTGCTCCCATGTATCACCTCTCCTGCACGAGCTGCACTGGCTCCCGGTGGTCTTCCGGGTGCGCTTCAAGGTATTGGTTCTCATCTTTAAAGCGCTCCATGGCTTAGGGCCTAGGTATTTACGAGACCACCTTCTGCCACCGATAACCTCCCACCGGCCAATGCGCTCCCACAGAGAGGGTCTCCTCAGGGTGCTGTCGGTCAAGCAATGTCGACTGACGACCCCCAGGGGGAGAGCCTTCTCTGTGAGGGCACCCGCCCCCTGGAACGAGCTACCCCCAGCAATACGACTGATCCCGGACCTCCGTACTTTCCACCGAGCTTTGAAGACTTTCTTATTTCAGCAAGCCGGGCTGACTTAAAATTTTAATGGGTTATTTTATGGGTAAAGGGTTTTAAAATTTGGGGAAGCCAAAGTGATCTAATTCTGTTTTAATTTATTTTAATTTTTATATTGTATGTATTTTAATCTTGGCTGTTCACCGCTCTGAGTCCTTTGGGAGAAGGGCGGTATACAAATTTAATAAATCTAATCTAATCTAATATCCAGACTTTGAAATGGGCCGGGAAGCCTGCAGTTAATCTGTTTTCCATAACAGATTTGGGTTTCCTAAACATAGGTTGTCACAGAATTATAATAATGTGGTGCCAAGTGAAGAGGGCGGGAAGGCTGAAACGGATGTCTACATAAAGAACTTAATTTACATTAGCACATTCTCTCATTTTTCTCATTTATATTGAAGATTCGTAATATCAATAAAATTGGATCTGGAAATTTTAAAAAAGTTTTTCAGAATTTTCTTTTTCTATATTTTTGGCTACAATCTGACAACAATTTAAAAAGGGTATAATTGAAATTATGCAGATTGCTTTTATAAAATTAATATTTTATTCTCTTAAACTAATTCAGAACAGTTAGGATATGATTTTTATAAACTAGTTCATAACTTGCATAATGTAGTTAGTTAGTTGCTTTCTTTCTGTCTTAATATACATTTAGAGTAAAGTTGGTACATTCAAAACACAAGCCTGCTGATGACATCCATCTGAAATTGAAACACCTGTAATAGTTAACATGCCAGTAAAAGAGGCTAAAGATTTTTTAAAAGGTCAAAGAAAAATGTGGATTTTAAAATCAATATCCACTTTGCATGCTTTATCGAATAACTAAATATGCTTTTTTTCAGATGGGAAAATAAATTGGCCTTTAATAAATGCAATACCATGCTCACATCGAAGAGGATAATAGCCCTCCTGTAAGTATGACATACATAAATATGGTGTGCAAAGACACATATACTATATGGAACAGCATGCTCTGAAATTCTGGAAACATTTTGAGCTGAAGTCTTACTGCAGGTGTTATTTTTCCAACTGTCACAGATCATAGGTTAAAAGCAAAATCATGGAGACATTACGTACAATTTTGAATCAGTTTAGTTCTGGCATCAAAATAAAATGCAATTTACAATTGGGAAAGCAAGATAATCTTGTGTGTTTCCCTTTTCTTCTCCTGTGATCACTTTCATTAGATTGGTCTCAGTTTGTCATGGCACTTAAATTCAAACAGATTGTGGTTAGTCTTACCTTTGGTTGCAAAAAGTGATCAATTTTAAGTTATTTAGGATTCCTGTCACAGAGCTCAGTTGGCTCAATATAATGATTAAGGATACTTAGATTTGTGATACAGCAACTTTGAGATTCATGTTTTATTTCTCACGTTTGCTTTCTTTATTGACTTAAACGTTAATGTCTACTAAAGCTAATGGCATACTGTTAACATCACCAACAAAGTGTTAATATTATCATTAATTATTTAATTCATTGACTGGTAAAATGAGCATTAAAATGATTGTCGTGTGAAATCAAATTTCAATTGGGCTTTTCTTTTTCTTTTTAATTTTAGCATGCTAATATCATAAGGGCTGCAAAAAGACCAAATCTCTGTTCTCTTTGGATGCTTCAAGCAGTATAAAGAAGTGGCTTCCTCATGACAACATGTCAGTGAAAGATCTCAGCCCCCGACATAGTTCAAAGTCCCGTGTAGTACAGCGGGCCTCTACTGTTGATGTTGCCTCTGATATGTCAGGTTTATCCTTGACAGGTGATTATCTGTTCCCTACTTGTGCTTTCCTAGTATTAATTTTTAACATTCTGTCTTAGGCCCAGTACCCTTCAATAATTCATCAATGATTTAGATGAGGGGATAGAAAAGGAACTCATCAAATATGTGGATGTTACCAAGCTAGCATGAATAGCCAACACTCCAAAAGATAGTCTTAAGATACAGAAGGATCTTGACAGACTTGGACATTGGGCCCTACCATCAAAATGAAATTCGATGGTGAAAAAAAGTAAGGTTCTACATTTAGGCAATAAACAATAAACAGGTACAGTAAATAAACTATAAACATGTATAGTATAGGTGGTACCTGGCTCAATAGTAGTAATTGTGAGAGGGATCTTTGAGTCCTAGTGGACAATCACTTAACTATGAGCCAGCAGTATACTGCAGCTGCCAAAAAAGCCAACACAGTCCTAGGATGTATTAACGGAGGAAGAGAATCAAGATCACATGAAATGTTAGCACTATTCTATAATGCCTTGGTAAGACCACACTTGGAATACTGCATCCAGTTTTGGTCACCAGAATGTAAAAAAGATGTTGAGAATCTAGAGTACAGAGAAGAGCAACAAAGATGATTAGGGGACTGGAGGCTAAAACATAAAAAACAGTTGCTGGAATTAGCTATGTTTAGTTTAATGAAAATAAGAACTGGGGGTGACATGATAGAAGTGTTCTAATATCTAGGCGGTTGCCATTAATAATCAAGCTATTCTCAAAAGCACTTGAAGGCAGGACAAGAAGCAATGAATGGAAACTAAACAAGGAGAAAAGCAACCTAGAACTAAAGAGAAATTTCCTGACAGTTAAAACAATTAATCAGTGGAATGACTTACCTCCAGAAGCTGTGAATGCTCCAACACTAGAAGTTTTTAAAAACAGAAGTGGACAACCATTTGTCTGAAATGGTGTAGGATTTCCTGCCTAAACTGGGGGGGTTGGACTAGAAGACCTCCAAGGTCCCTTTCAACTCTGTTATTCTATGTTCTATGTTATTTCTCCATTTTGTTATTGCAGAGCAAATAAAAAAATCACCCCCCCCCCAAAAAAAGGAGTTAAATGAATACTTTCTTTTTATTTTGCTTTAATATTTTAAAATGCAATTCTATTACACAGATTTTTTTTCCCCATTGGATGGTGATAATAAAAAATTGAAAGTTTATGAAAAAGTAGTTTGTGTCTCCTTCCTACCATTGTGTGATTTATTTTTTGTCAATTTTTATGAAAATGGCACATATTTCTAGATTCATAACCTGCAAAATTTCAGAATATTAAGAGCAGAGATTAGAGTTACGATGAATGTATGGTTTTTGTCTTCTGCTCCCCTAATATATGGCAAATATAATGTAATAGGGATGTTTGATGGATATTTAAAAGGATACTGTATAGTGACAAAGATAAATAAAACCAGAGGTATTCTGAAAGTGACTCCAGAAGCTAATTCCATTATTTATGAATCATAATCAATTTATTTTATTTCTTTTAATTCTATTGGGTCTTTTGAGTCTCTCTGAAAAAGCATGAGGGTTAATAAGAATTTGGGTTTCCCAAAAGCAGCCCACAATTTTGCTAACGTTTGTGCTTTACAGGAAACATCCAAGATCCAGATGAGCCAATCTTAGAATTTAGTTTAGGTAAGTAATTTCATAATATGTTTTTCCTCATTCATTTTAAAACATTACCTTTATACTTGCTGCTTATATAGGAGTTCGTTTATCTACAGGTTTAATGGCTGGTTATAGCAAAACACGTGTTACAAGATCCTATGACACTTAGAGCTACCTTCCTTAGCATTTTGGACTAATTTTGGTAATGTATTATAAATATATCACCTTTCTAGGAAAACAGCCTGTTAAATTAAAACATAAAATAACCTAGCAAAAGCAGTGTAAAATATATGTCCAAAATGTATCAAAATTAACACAAACTGGGCAGCTTGTTATTCTAATCATCTCTTTCTGCACATTACCTCTTTTGATTAATCTTCCATTCTACACTTTTGTGTGAAATACGGCATCTGAATATACAGCCAGCATCAATTCTCATTTTCTAATCCTTGAAAATTACCGAACTTTAAGTTATAATTAAACTTTTTTCACATTATTTTTTTCCATACTCAGTATCTTCTATTTTTCTCTCTTTTCTTTATTTCAGACAGTAGCCTAGTGCTGTGTGGTATAACATGTACAGTATATGAGAATGACAGCAATTATGATCAGTTCAGTCATTGTTTTGTATTTAACAAGTGAAAAATTTTCATTTCTTGTATTCTATTTGTGAAATTCAGTTCCTTCAGTGTGTGAAACGGTGCTGTTGATTTTCCACAGCTTGCAGTGAACTATTAACTCCATCACTAGATAGGAAGCCAAATTGTTTTGTAGCAGTGAGTGTGACTACACCACCTCAGGCATTCTGGACAAAGCATGCTCAAACAGAAATTATTGAGGTAGGTTGTATTGTGTTTGCTGCATCAGTAACCTGATTAAATTCAACTGGTACCAATTTGTTTCTACTAATTTTTGATTATTATTATTATTTTGTTTCCATTACAGGGCACAAATAATCCCATCTTTCTAAGCAGCATTGCCTTTTTTCAAGACTCTCTTATTAATCAGATGACACAAATTAAACTTTCTATATACGATGTAAAAGATAGATCTCAGGGAACTGTAAGTTAAAAATGTCTTATTGCTGCACATCTGAACCAAAGCTTGCATGCTTTTGATCCTGGAGGCCCTGTCTAGATTCTTTAAAAGCTGGCATTATTATAGTTGTTACTATAAATATAATAGGCTGAGCCTGTTTTTGAAGATTATATTAAAAATTAAATATATTACATTCCTTTGCTCAAAAATACATACAAAATTAATCAAAAATCATAAGGGCCTGGTGGCTCAGCAGACTGATAGCATTGTGATTAACACCAGCTGTCTGCAATTACTGTAAGTTCGAATCTCACCAGGCTCAAGGTTGACTCAGCCTTCCATCCTTTCTAAGGTAGGTAAATTGAGGACCCAGTTTGTGGGGGCAATAAGCTGACTTTGTATAAATATACAAAAGTATGAAGGCTATTGCTTAACGCATTGTAAGCCGCCCTGAGTCTCCGGAGAAGGGAGACATATAAATCAATTTTTTTTAAAAAAAATCATATATTTGAATTAAGTGAAAATCACCCCGGCTGCATTGTTGAGGATGCTCATTCTTATTTCTAATGCTGGGATGGCATTTTCTTTGGGGTTTGCAGGTGCGAAAAGAAATCTGCAACCTTACCTTTTTTATTATTATTATTAATTGGATTTATATACCGCCCTACTCCCAAAGGACTCAGGGCGGTGAACAGCCACAGAATAAAACACATAAATACAAAAATTTAAAATAGAATAAAAACGAATTAAATAATTTGGCTGAGACACCTTGCTAATGAATCTTAAATGTCCCTGCTTATTATCATTATTGAGTAAAAAAAGGATGGTAGTATGCTGTATAATTAAATACAGTATATAGTTGATGGACTATTTTAAGATGGAACCAAAGATTTCCTTGCTATGGCAGGGAGGAAACGAATCTTTGGATCTGAATTCTAAAAAATAATTATAATGGACATCTAGTGGTTCTTTCCTCTTCTCGTTTTCATAAATTATCCCCATAAAGAAAAGAACAAAAAAAGATCTCTCTCTCTCATGTATATATACATCAGGGATGTTAAACTGGCAGCCCGCGGGCCAGATGCGTCATGTGCAGGCCACAACCCCCCAGGGAAAAAACATTGCAATTGTCATGTGACGGCAATGTGACGCCACAAGTTTGACACCCGTAATATACATAAACAATGTTTACAATGTTTACATTGTTTATAGATGTATAATTTTAATACAGAGACAGTCAAAAACAAGCTATTTTAAATGTGAGTTGATATCATTTGCATTGGTTAGCAACACATAAACAAGAGGTAACTGGATTATGGAGTCATGCATTTATTATAAAAATGGAAAATGAAAGCTTGTTAGGTATTATTTGGTATAGATACCTATTGCTTACAACATTACATACCTACTAGCTATAATAAATGCTTGGGCCCTCAACTCATCATTTAGATTCTGAATTATGATTACCGGGTTCTATGATTTGGCATGATTTCTGAATTGAGGGAGAACTGAGAGAGAGAGGGATTCCTCCATCAAATTATTGACTTAGTTTTACATGAAATATTAAAGCCAAAGAAATGGCCTTTCAAAACTGGAATTAAAAATGGTAATAATTTATTACTGAAATATTTTTGGTTTTTTTCTTCAGATGTATTTATTGGGTTCTGTGATATTCACTGTACAGGATCTACTTAAGGAGAAAAGTCATAGGCTGCACTTAACACTAAGGTTAGTATTGAGTCTTGTTTCATATGAAAATAATCTGTATGCTAATTGAAGAAAGTGAGGCTTTTTAATTACATGCTAGTTCGGTTTAATTCATTTTTAAAACTCAGATCAAAACAAAAGGGTTCCTCTTTAAGACAATTGCCTCTCTGTAGCAGCACTAACCGTCTGGAACAACCTTTCACTAGAGTTTGGGTTAGCTTTGGAAACAGATGAAAAGGAAGCTTTTCTAAATATTGTGAATATTCTCTTCTGAAAAATTGATTGACCTATTTTCTGCATCATTGAATTTACCAAATCCCAATCTTCCTATAATTCCAGGTTTCTCTATTTTTTCCATCTTTTGGACTTAATCATCCATTATTAATCTTATGTTTTCCCCCATAGACTACGTTTAACCTCTTCAATTTGCTATACAATATTTGTTTTCCACCATTATGTCTGTAATATATAAATATTCATTATATATATACTCATTCTAAAGCAGGGGTGGGAAACAATGGCCCCTTTCTGGCTCAGGAATTCTGGGTGTTGAAGTACACAAGTCATAAAAGGGCCATCATACCTGACCATTGTTCTAAAGGCTACAATCCTGTAATTTATTATATCTGACACATTGCCTTTCCTTTATGAGTGTGAAGATACTTTGTTCCTTTAAAATTATCTTAAATCCTAAATATTTTCTGTTTTAAAGAGGCCCATTTTGTTCTATTTATTCCTAAAACTCTCACTTAGAATGTTTTATTTCCATATTAAAAATATCAAGCTTTTCTCGGTTCATACTTCTCATATTTTATATTCCAAATGTATATGTCCTTTCAGTAATCCCCCACCACCCCGGCTCTCTTATGTTATGCTCATCAACTTCTGCCTGACCTCATCTTCTGTTCATCCCAACATTGGCCATTTCCATACACTTTTTAACAAATATATAAAAGAGATTTGTCATAATTTTACAATCCCTTCTCTAGGTGGGTTGACCAGTCTCATGCTTCAGAGCTCCATCTGCCGTGATCTGTATTTTGGTTTACTCTTTGCTTCATCATTCTCCTTTGACCTTACCAGCAAGGGTAGCCCTAATAGGAACTGCTGTTCCTATTACTCTCAGGATTATGGAAGTTATTAAATTCTGCTGCCAAATCTAGAAGGGTGTCCCTGGGTCAGGCCTGAATATTTCATGGGACAATGTAGGCCCAGATGAAACACACACACCAATGAAATGTGGAACAATTTTTATCCATCTGTTATTTCTACCAGAAGAAGCTGGAAGTTCAGTGCCTATCAGGTATTCTCTGAGCAAAGAGTCCTTCAGCCCCCAATCAAAATAATAATTCTCCTGTATGCATGCAGTTAATTCAATGTTTTGTCATTCACTATGATAGATATGGACATTATGGTTTTAATGGCCCCATTCAAAAGTATGATTCTGTGAAAACATACATAATTCACAGGAACCATTATTATGTACATGTATGACTCTTAAACAAGGCAAAGGTCTCCAAAAACTTGTACTGGACAGTGTATCCTATTTTAGATAATATAGCTTCATCATTTGTAAGGACTTAAGGTTTCTCACCTTAGATCTATTTGTTTCATTAACTGGGAGTGCAGCTGTAGGCCTTAGTCTGCCACTTTCTGTCCCATATAAACCAGCAGCTGGATAAAATCTAATGAGATCAGCTTGCTATAGTTCTCTTCTCTAGCCGTCTCTAGTTGATGGTTTATATTCAGTTATTTCTTCAGTTTCTTCCCTTTCAGTTTTCCTTCAGAATCACCAAAGAAATATTCTTTGGGGATTTTGTCTTGCAGCTTTTCAAAGCCAAGTGTTCCACTCCAAGCAAAGAAGAACAGGTTGCTGAAATCCACAAGCCACAATACTAATTTATGTAACAATGTCATTCTTCAGTGAAAGTCTGTAACTAAGAGAATGAACATTGCAGGTAGAATCAGAATTCATCTCAAATGCTCCTCTAAAAACAAAAGTCATGGCATCTAGAAGAGCAAACATAATGTAGCTATATGATTATTAGACATATTGCTATTACTTTTATTATGATTACTGCATATATTTCTTGGGTGTTGTTATCACAGACTTTAAAGGTAGAGCAAAGCCTTAATCACTTTCAAATCACTGCTCAGAATTTCACTCAATCTTTCTTGATAAGCTTTATGATGAGCAATTTTTCAGAAATATTGTTTATTTCCAAAAGATATTGTGTGGCTTAGACTGAAGAATAAAAGAGTGCACACTCAACATTTTTAAATATGCTTTACCACTGACAAAATTATGAGGCTGAAATTTGGGATTAGACTTGTTTTAACTGAGGATAAAATCCCATTCAAGAAATGGCATTTTTATAAACAACAGAATTTGGAGGCCAGAGTGAGTCCAATTTTTCCATTTTGCACAATTGTATCTCTCTTAATGAAAGGGGCACCATTGTGTCTCATGGACCCTGATTGATTTATCCCAAGTAATTTGTACATTGTAGATCTGCGGAAAATGACCGTGTCGGGAACATTACAGCCATAGGATGGCAGATGGAAGAAAACACAGATGAAAGGCCTCCTGTGACCAGATCTCCTGATACTATTAATGGAAGGGTGAGTTGGTTGTCTTTCTGCTATATATATAACTCTTCTTATTCTTCCCACCCCATTCCTCAGAGTCATTTTTTTTCTAAAGCAGTTCAGCCTTTGTTGGATAAAAATATTTTGTTATGTATCTAAAAGGAAGAGACCTGTGTAAGCTACCATCTCAACTCCAAAAGTGAAAATGAGAAAAAAAAGCTTACTTGCTTTCTTTGTCGTGTTCTCAATAAATCTAAGACAACTTTTTCATGCTAAAGGTAACTTATTGATGACCTTTTTTTAAAAAAAGAACTGTTGTTTTCCTCTCAGGCAAATACAATATATCTTAGGAATTGAGGAATCTTGGCCAGGGCACTTTGCAACTCTGCTTATAGGAATTTGTTGTTTGTCAAGTTTCTGAATTTCTAGATTGCACCTTCAGTTTGAGAACCTAGCTTAAATATACAAATGATGATGCTTGATTACTCTATATTTTTAATTAATATATTTTCCTGCTTTTTTTTCAGACTGTGCTACCAGTTGATGAAAGTTTGACAGAGTCCTTAGGAATCCGAACCAAATATGCTTCATTACGAAAAGATGCACTATTAAAATCTGGTATGGATGAATGGATGAGTATTCTGCATCTTTCTTTGGCTTTTTCCAGTCCATTGTCATGCCTGTTCTTCCATATATTATGTCAGTGTTTATGTAATCAGATTGACCAGACAAAGGATTCTTCCATTTGGCTTTGTGGAGAGAAGAGATCCAGTGAATATTAACATTATCAGTGTTAGGGGGACTAATCAGAGCTGACTTAATGGAACAGAGTGAATAAATACTGAAGAGGAAAAGCTCCAAGTTGCATTATTTTATGGTTTTCAAATCTTTAAAAGTGTGCTACATTGCAGATTTAACTATATAAAAGCATTTGGACACATCTACATCTGCATTATGGTCATTCAGTTCATCTACATGCAGAAATAATTAAATCATTATTCACATGCAGACTTTTATTCTAAGTAATAATATTTTTCCAGGATTTCACTGAAATCTCTTAGATTAAGGACAGGGGAGGACGGCAGAGTTCACTTCATCAGAAGTAGTTGGCCTAGATTGCAATCCAGATGAAAATACGGCATTGATCTACAGTACATCTGTCTATGCATAAGAGATCTGTGGGTTTTTTCAGAGGAAGAGGGGAGTTGGCTGCAAGCTTTGTGCTGTTTTGAATTTAAGCCATGATCTTTAGGAGGTCATGGATCTTTAGGAGTCATGATCATGAGAAATTGATCAAGAAATTGTAAGCTGAAAGAAACTGATCAGAAGCCTCTAATATGCTTGTAGGACTATTGAATAGGATACAATAGAATTCTTTATTGGCCAAGTGTGATTGGACACACAAGGAATTTGTCTTTGGTGCATATGCTCTCAGTGTACATAAAAGAGAAAAAAAGAAAAAAGAGAAGAAAAAAATACATTCATCAGCTTAGCATCACTGATGTTTCTGTCTTAAATAAAAGGCATTAAAAAGGCATTCACATGTTGTGAATGCACATTCATCTGTGTTCTCTTTACATAATAACAACTGTTTTCAGCATAGGTTTTGATTTTAGTTGTCCAGCCTTTACTTTATGTTGTGTCTTCCTTTTAAGTTGAAACATACATGGCCTGTGGTATCAAAGGCAAGTGCATGGATGTCAGAGTGAAAAGAACTGTTCTTCAAACAAGAACAGTCCATAAATCTATCTTTTGTCTCATCACTAAATGCATTACGCTGAGAAACTAGGAAGACCTGAATATTGCAGTCTAAATATTCATTGTATGGTCATACAATACTTAACAATCTTTTCAATATCAAACTTTTGTGCATATTGTATCAAAACTCAACTTTCTGTTTCTGCTTTTTGTTGAGAGAAGTGTACCTTATAAGCTGTACTTTTAATATGCTTGGATGTGCTTAAGTAGGTTTTAGCATTTCAAGGTTAATAGGGTTTCTAGCGTCTCTAAACGGTTTGTTAAATTAATGTGTTAGGGGAATGGAGCTTGCATGGCCTAATTGCAATGAAGTACTTATTTAAGTGTTTTAATATTTTAGTGTTTGGAGGTGCCATTTGTCGGATGTATCGTTTTCCTACCACTGATGGCAACCATCTGAGGATTTTGGAACAAATGGGAGAGAGTGTGCTCTCTTTACACATTCCAAGGCAATTTGTGAAATTGCTGCTAGAGGAAGATGCTGCAAGGTAAAAGTCACTGCAATAAAGTTTTAACTATTGATGCTAATGAGGAAATACAATATTAAGGCAAACAGTTCAGATTTGCGCAATGCTTACAGTGATTAGCTGACACCTTTCTTTTATTTATTTTCCTGATCATGTCTATAAATATTTAATCATGTCTGTAAATAATTGGTAGGCTGGAAAATAATGCAGCACAATTACTTGTTTGTTCTATAGTGTTACAGGGTAGAAAAGGCATTGATCGCTCTGGTTGATTTATATTTGATGGAACTTTGTTGGGAATAGTACTGGACCTTTTAATGGTGTTTAATACCATTGACCTTGGTATTCTTCGGATTGTTTTCAGGGTTGTAAACTGGGAGCACCGTTCTGTGATTGTTCCATTCCTACCTCAATGGTGACTAACAATCCATAATCATGGGAATCACATTTTAAGTCCTTGTAAACTCTAGTGTTGAATATTTTAGTGTTCTTATTTCTCCATGTTAATTAATATATACATGAGACTGACTGGGGAAATCATGTTATGATTTAGAGTTCAGAGTTATGATCCAGGTCATCAATGTAGAGATGATATCCAGTTTTATATTATCCCATCAAGATGAGCCAAAAATGCTGTAAAACTGGTACCTGGAGTTGGTGAGGGTGTGGATGGGAAAAACAAGACTGGATTAAATGTCACCAAGTCAAAGCTTCTAGTCATCATTAATGCTGCTATTTGAAAATTGTTTGATTTGTTATTTGCCTCCCAACCAGTGTCCTCTGGAATAGGCATGCTGTAAAATGTTGTGAAATAAATGAAAAAGAAAGATGTGTGCTGCTTCCAGACTTTGCAGCAGCTGCTGCTGCTGTTGTTTAGGCAAATATGTGTTGTTTCAGTTAACATAGGTACACACTGGCACTTGTAGAAGACAATTTGTCCTCCAGTTACCTACTTACTGAGTTTTTCCTGCTTGAGCTTCTGATTTAAGGCTGATTTAAGAAAACTATAGGAAATCAGTATATAAAATGACTATTAATTATTATTTTTGTGTAATGGCTTCATGGAAAAAGCATGTAATTTTTGTTTGTCTTCAGTTTCCTCTGGAATCTGCTTTGACTGCTTTGAAATTACTCCATCACCCCAAAACACTTGATCTAAAGTTTTTTTTTAATTTATAAATTTACTTATCATTGTTTTATTAAATCTATACGATACAATTCTGAAACAAAGCAAGTATTTATTGGCTGATTTTCACTTTGTGAAAATAATATTTGTTAATATAAATAAATAACAATTTTAAATAAATAAAAAGCAAATCAGATACTGGTTAAAGCAGAAGTGTCCAAAACACACCAGCCTCATCGAAGTACTATAGTACTGTACAGTAACACCCCACAGGATTTGTTTCATGTTATGTATTGTGTAGTAGAGCATTCCAAAGAGCAGTTCAACAGAATGCACTGATGCACCTTGAATTGATGAAATGACTGCTTGATATTGCTACTATGGAGAATTTCCCTGGGTTTCTCATGAGCCACTTCACAAAGTTGCTTTGTTCTGTGTGCCGTCCCAGCAGAGGTGTTCCCTGTGCATGCACATGTATGAAGAGATAGCTGGGAATAGCTTTCAAAGCAGCTGCGCTGAGTGTTCTGGAAGATGTGGCTCCTAGCTGGACTAAGAGTGCCCTGATAACCCAGACAGTTTTGTATACTGAAATATTAGTTTATAAAAATATGAGAAGAACTCTGCTGGATTAGATTAACAGCCTATGAAGTTCAGCATGCTGTGTAATACAGTGACCAATCAAAAGTATTCATAAGTTTCACTAACATGGATAGGATGGATGATTTCACATCTTCTGTTCTTTCAGAATAATTCTGAAGAATAGGGGGGTAATACTTAATTGAAACTTTAATTTAGCAACTGCTGTCACTGGTAATATAATTTTCAACACTTTTAGCAAACATATAGTTTGCTAGTCCGGAGATTTCTGTCATTGAATATCTATTTTACTTGGGGTTCATTTTATTTTTCATCATAATTTACTTTGAATCCAGGTTTAACAGTAGAAGTAAGGTAATGATAATATCTGTCCTAGATTATTTTCAGTATTGAAAATAAAGTGGTAAAAAGGATCCCATCTGACTCTTACCATGGAAGGCATCTTTGACATTCTCATGCCAGTGCTTTGTCCAATCTGGGGCCTACAATTGCCCCTAGACAATTGATTTTGAAGTTGGGATTGGATGACATCACATGTCCAAAGTATCTGAAAGACACTAAATTGGGGAAAGATGGATCGAGTGATTTGTTGATTAATTGTCATTCGAGCTACTTTCATTGGATATAAGGGGAATCTGACACATCACTGTCATAATGGTGTTGTAAGAATGAGTGTACAGGATAAATGATTTAATTGCTGTTATATTACTGGAGCTGTATAAAAAGCAGTTCAGGCTTTGAGATAAATTTTTAATGAGAAATTACTCAGTTTTCTGCAATCTTTCTTTTTGTCTCAGAATCCTGGCATCATGTGCCTTAGTTGAAAAATTACCTTTTTGTATTTTAAACTATGATGCCTGTAAATGTCATCTGCTTCTGTGATTCATTATTGCAGTGTAATTCATGCAGTGATTAGAAATTTCTCACCTTCTAATAGAGATCTGGGAATATCCAGTTCCTTTCCAGTTATTTGCATTCAATCAGAAGTTTTTAAATTAGGCCTTGCCAAGATTAGAACTTCCCAATAGAGCAGTTTCAGGGTAAAATTAGCAGATATACATAGATAGGTCAATGTAGAACATGCATAGAGGGATCTGTGTGGGTATTACAGGAAACCGGGTTTTCATATGCTATATACTATTATTATTTTTCTACTATTTATAATTAACCATCAAATGCTTAATTTTAGTAGATCATTTATTTAACTTTTGCCACGCTTGCCATTTTGTCTAATTCAGCATTTCCCAACCTAATGTCTACCCAGACATGCGTGACTTCAGTTCCCCAAATTCTCAACCAGCATGGACTTTGGTTAGACTGAGCTAGGAAGCAATGATTGACTGACTCAATTAGATTGAGCTGAGAGAAGTCTAAGCTCTGCTCACCCAGTAAGATCCATGAATGAATTGGATGTCTAATCCACTACTGTTGGTAAAGCATACCTATTTATGTTATATGAGTAATCTCAGCACTATTTAGTTTTATTCTATAGGGAGTTGAAGTACTGATATAATTTTCCAAATGCTAAAAGTATGGATATACAGTCAGGTCCAGAAATATTGGGACATTGACACAATTCTAACATCTTTGGCTCTATACACCACCACAATGGAGTTGGAATGAAACAAACACAATGTGCTTTAACTGCACACTGTCAGCTTTAATTTAAGGGTATGTACATCCAACTCAGGTGAACGGTGTAGGACGTACAGCAGTTTGCATATGTGCCTCCCACTTGTTAAGGGACCAAAAGTAATGAGACAGAATAATAATTATAAATCAAACTTTCCCTTCTTAATACTTGGTTGCAAATCCTTTGCAGTCAATCACAGCCTGAAGTCTGGAATGCATAGACATCACCAGATGCTGGGTTTCATCCCTGGTGATGCTCTGCCAGGCCTCTACTGCAACTGTCTTCAGTTCCTGCTTGTTCTTGGGGCATTTTCCCTTCAGTTTTGTCCTCAGCAAGCGAAATGCATGCTCAATGGGATTCAGGTCAGGTGATTGACTGGCCATTGCATAACATTGCACTTCGGTCCCTTCAAAAACTCTTTGGTTGCTTTTGCAGTATGCTTTGGGTCATTGTCCATCTGCACTGTGAAGCACCGTCCAATGAGTTCTGCAGCATTTGGCTGAATGTGAGCAGATAATATTGCCCGAAACACTTCAGAATTCATCCTGCTGCTTTTGTCAGCAGTCACATCATCAATAAATACAAGAGAACCAGTTCCATTGGCAGCCATACATGCCCACGCCATGACACTACCACCACCATGCTTCACTGATGAGGTGGTATGCTTAGGATCATGAGCAGTTCCTTTCCTTCTCCATACTCTTCTCTTCCCATCACTCTGGTACAAGTTGATCTTGGTCTCATCTGTCCATAGGATCTTGTTCCAGAACTGTGAAGGCTTTGTTAGATGTTGTTTGGCAAACTCTAATCTGGCCTTCCTGTTTTTGAGGCTCACCAATGGTTTACATCTTGTGGTGAACCCTCTGTATTCACTCTGGTGAAGTCTTCTCTTGATTGTTGACTTTGACACACATACACCTACCTCCTGGAGAGTGTTCTTGATCTGGCCAACTGTTGTGAAGTGTGTTTTCTTCACCAGGGAAAGAATTCTTCGGTCATCCACCACACTTGTTTTCCGTGGTCTCCTGGGTCTTTTGGTGTTGCTGAGCTCACTGGTGCATTCCTTCTTTTTGAGAATGTTTCAAACAGTTGTTTTGGCCATGCCTAATGTTCTTGCTATCTCTCTGATGGGTTTGTTTTGTTTCTTCAGCCTAATGATGGCTTGCTTCACTGATAGTGACAGCTCTTTGGATCTCATCTTGAGAGTTGACAGCAACAGATTTCAGATGCAAATAGCACACTTGAAATGAACTCTGGGCCTTTTATCTGCACATTGTAATTGGGGTAATGAGGGAATATCACACACCTGGCCATGGAACAGCTGAGAAGCCAATTGTCCCATTACTTTTGGTCCCTTAACAAGTGGGAGGCACATATGCAAACTGCTGTAAGTCCTACACCGTTCACCTGAGTTGGATGTACATACCCTCAAATTAAAGCTGACAGTCTGCAGTTAACGCACATTGTGTTTGTTTCATTCCAACTCCATTGTGGTGGTGTATAGAGCCAAAGATGTTAGAATTGTGTCGATGTCCCAATTCCAGGAGCTGTAGTGACCCAAAACAGCTTCCATATTTGGTGTATCTTGTATTTACAAATTGATATATTTTGAAAGAGAAAAAAAGTTAAAGTAAACGGGAGAGATTAGTTTGAAAAGAAGAAAATGGTTGAACTTGATTGAAATCACATCAGTAAAAAGTAATATTTTTCAGTACTGTACATAGAACTTGTATTTTCAATCCACAGTGCTTTGGATTTGGAATAAGTAGCAGATAATTCAATAGGAAAATTTCCACTGAATTCCTGAGTTTTAGAAATTACAGTTATATAACAAGCTGTTGGATTTACAAACCATTTCAAGTGTTTATTTGACCCACATTGCCACTAGAGCAGCGGTTCTCAACCTTTGGGTCACGACCCCTTTGGGGGTCGAACGACCCTTTCACAGGGGTCGCCTAAGACCATCGGAAACACATATTTTCAATGATTTTCGGAATAATTTTATGGTTGGGGGTCACCACAACTTGAGGAACTGTATTAAAGGGTCGCAGCATTAGGAAGGTTGAGAACCACTGCACTAGAGTGTCTTCCAGACATGGTAATCATGGCTGTGGATCATCTTCCTAATTATTGCTGCCCGGTAGAAAAACATTGCTTAGGTAGAAGTGGAAATGGAGTATATGCATTAATTCTGAGTGAAAAGTTTCAGAGGGATGGGATGGGACAAGGCAAAGCTGGAGGCAATGTTTCCTTCAATTTCTCCTGGTAAAAGAACAGAAATAGGAAGGTGGGTTGGGAGATTAAAAAAAGGGTTTTGAAGAAGCTGGCCAACAGTTTGAGAAATAGGTCCATCATTATCTTGTGCTTTTCTGGTGGTGTAATGGACTGTATTAGTTCATTATGTCAGTGCAGAGCTATAAATTGTGGTATGATGTCAGCACTACAATTCTCCATTTGGCCCTGTATACTTATAGCTAGCAATTTATACATGAGCTGTCAGTAATTTGGTGATATATTTGACAGAAGTGTTTTAAAATAAGCAAACAGAATACTATGTAATTAGGATATAAGAATTATAGAGACCTTAACAGTGAATGTATTACACTAGTGAAATAGATAGGATGGGGAAAATCCATTTGATATTCATTTTTGTATTAAGATGTTCAATCTGAGCTTTTTCAAACCTGGAACATACTTGTGTATCAAAATCCTGACTTTTCAGAATTTTTCAATAAGATGCAAAAGAGATATGTGAGATGGTAGCCATATGGTAGCCATACAAATATGATAAATAAATAAACAAAAATACAAGCAGAAACCACGTATTATATTAAGTCCCACTTAATACTGGAAAATGGAGTAATTAAACTGTTAGGATTTGAATGGGGTTAATATCTGACCCTTCTCTGTGTTGGGACAAAGTAATTTATGAAAAAAAATATGAGAATAACAAGGCTTATTATATGCCTCGAAAATGCTCAAAATGTATTCTAATTAAAATAAAATATTTAAGTAGTCCATAGGTAGGCTTGAATAGATAGTTTTAAAAGGTGAGGAGGATATATTGTTTTTCATTTAATATATAACTGATCTAATAGTTTCATTGTTTTTGGATGTTTTGGTAGGATTTGTGAACTTGAAGAACTGGGAGACCTGTCTCCCTGCTGGGAAAGTCTTCGTCGGCAAATAGTCACTCAGTACCAAACAATTATTCTGACCTATCAGGACAACCTGACAAATCTTCATCAGTATAAAGGTAGATGTGTCAGACAATTTTTACGATGGTTTCGAAATCACCAGCTTTTGTTGCCTTTTCATCAGAAGTAGATTGCTGTCTAACTGTACTCTTCGTATGGACACAATTGCATAGATTCATAGTAATTGTTCTGTTTGCTTATGCCATTTGGTTTCACCAGGATGGGTATAGGAAGGGATGTGGAATCTTGTATACTATCCATACCATCCATACTAGATTTCTTTGTCCAGGAAGTGGATATAGAAGAAGAATTCTATAAATATAACAACAGCTTATGCATTCAGTACAAGTGAAAAGCAATAGAACCACAAAGTAAAATAGTAATGGATCTAGTTGTTACCAAAAAATCACTAAAACGTTTTGAACAGCAGATACCTTTGTGTCCAAAATAGATCAGAAATGGGTCTGTATATATACTAAGGTGGAAGAAGAACAGAAAGAGTGCTATGAATAATACTGGGATTTGTAGCTTACAAAAATTGTGCCTTTTTAAAAAAAATAAATGAACAATTTGTCTTTTTTAAATTATATTTTTTAATTTGGACTTTTGCATGGAATTCTAGTCTTTAAACAACAATCCCTTTCTGCTAAACTAGATAGAGCAGGAATACATGAATATCTTTACAATATTGGACTTCTTCAATTTTACTTAAAAAAGAAAAGAGTAAGGGATGCTGAACATTATAATGAAATCTACTACATTTCACTCTACTGGCAGTTTTTAAACACACTTTGTCCATCAAGGCCACTTCCCGTATTGGACCACAGTTGAAGAAGAAATGGTTGGACAGGTTGAAATACTGTAACTGTGACGAGTGATATGGACTTGCCATTGATGTAACTCTTTTGCTGTTGCAATAAAAGTCGAGATTAAAAAAAGTCAGGTTTGTATATATTGGGACAATGTTTTTTGGCATTCAGCCTCTGTACATCATCACATTGAATTTCACATGAAACATTGAAGACGTCAATGAAGTGAAGATTTTCAGCTTTAATTCAAGGACTTTGACAAAAGTGTTTCCATTGGTAAGTTCTCATCTAGGCATGGTCTAATTTAAAATCATCTGATTGAATGCAAACTACTGGAATAGGGGTGAATATTTCCAAACCTCCATCATTGTCCCAATATATACGGACCTGATTCTACATTGTTCTTGACATTAGGCCATTAATCATGCAAAGAGATGGATGTCAGGTCTGATTTGTCATTAAACTGGTGATTCTGAAGATCTCTTCAAATTTTATTTATTTATTTGAGTTGGATAGCTACCTACCTCAACAGGGTGGTAGGTACAACTCTGAGTGACATGCATCATATGACTTAAAACAATTTAAAATAAGTAAAAGAATAGCAATAGCAATAAGACTTATATACCACTTCATAGTGCTTTACAGCCCTCTCTAAGTGGTTTACAGAGTCAGCATATTGCCCCCAACAATCTGGGTCCTCATTTTACTGACTTCGGAAGGATAGAAGACTGAGTCAACCTTGAGCCTGGTGAGATTCGATCTGCCAAACTGCTGGCAGCCGGTGATCAGCAGAAGTAGCCTGCAGTACTGCATCTAACCACTGCGCCACCACAGCTCATTGAATACAAAATAAATATATATGGCACCAAGTAAAAACTATTACTATGGATGTGACTACAGCAGGGGTGAAATGCTCCTAGTTTGGACCGGCTCGGGCAAGTAGGTAGCGATGGCAGCGGGCAGTTCGGAGAACCGGTAGCAAAAATCCCTGCCCCCGCCCCCCATGCCCAGCTGAGCCGCGGGATCATCGGAGGCTTTTTTTCTTTTAAATGCCTTTGATGAGCCAAGCTCTGACGATCCAAGCTCTGATGATCCCAGCTGAGCTGCCTGCTGATCAGGCAACTCAGCTGAGATCGTCAGAGCCATTTAAAAGCATTTTTACATGGTTTTACATGTAAAAAATTGTTTTAAAAGTAAAAAAAAATTGGCCACGCCCACCCAGTCACATTACCCCTCCACCAAGCCACGCCCACAGAACCGGTAATAACAAATTTTAGATTTCACCACTGGACTACATCCAGAACCTTGCCATACTCGGGGCTATAGACCCTGGACTTACAACCAAGTCTTCATAACCTTAGAAAAAGCCAAGAGAGTCAGGGTCATCCTGATATCTGAAGGGAGAATATAGGGGCAGGGGTGGGGGCTGTGGCAGAGAAGGTACATCTCCAGAATGCTAGCTTTTGCCGGGTTGATGAAACATTTATCCTAAAATAAAGGGAAAGCAGCAATAACAAAGGAAAATCAAGTGATGGAAAGGCTTTGTAGAATGAAGCTTAAAGTAGCACATCAAGGATGGATGAGTATTGTGGCAAAGAAATGCTTTGTTTGCATAAACTTTAATCCTATAAGCAAAATCCCAGAAACAACATTTTATAATGTTAACATTTCCAAATAAATGACAATAAAATGGTATGTCCAGTAATGGAATTAGAAGGATTCAAAGCAAAAGAGCATTATCTTTTTTTGGGTGTGTCCTTTATTAGTCAGCGTTCACAATTTTTCACATTGCTTTTAAAGGACGAAATCGAAATTATGAAATTTGGCAGATCTTTCCATTTATCATCTAAATATTTAAGCCTTTAAAATGTAGCATTGCTATTATGTCCTGTACTTTTTTTTTTAAAGTCTTACAGTATTTTAAAATTATCTTCATGGTTTTACGATCAGTTTTACAAAAATATTCTGCATGTCTGTTGTCCAAAATACTCCATAGACAGCACTAAAACAGTAACTTAATGGCATATTTTCTCTATTTACTTTCTTGAAAGCAACATATCAGCTACATTTATTTTTCCATCAAAAAGTATATTGGAAACTCTTGGATAGTTGTTTAATCCAAAAAAAAAAGCATAAGCCATATTCCTGTTACATTTCAAGCTTGGAAAACATCAGAGAATGAACTAAGATTGCAATGAACAATTTGGTGAATACAAGCATAATCACTAGCACTGATGATATTATCTAGTTTGGGTAAAGAAACAAACAAGTTTAGAAACCATCAAAGACTCCATAATTCAACCTTCTTTTCTATTGGAAACATAATTATGTAATGTGAGAGACTGTAATGGTGGTTATTAGCTATAACATCTGGAAGGAAGTCTACCTTCTTTTAAACAAAAGAAGTGACACCCCAACAGTTTCCCATAGGGATCGGAATTGGAAGCATGACTCTTCATTCTGACTTGTGATTAAATATAAGAAATACAATTGTTGATCTATTTTATCATTTTGTTATTGTTCTTTATGGTCATTGTTCTTTTCTGTTCATTAATAATTATATTTCTGTGAAGTGAATATACAAAAATTGATCTTTTTCAATTAATTTCGCCAGGACCATCTTTCAAAGCAAGTAGTCTGAAAGGTGATAAAAAGCTTGAATTCATGCCCACAAATTTACATATACAACGAATGAGGGTCCAGGATGATGCGGGATCAGGTATTCTTATGCTTCTTAATACATTTTATACATATATTATTAGCAAGCTCAGTTTTCCACGTATGAATCTTTATTTTTCATTAGCAACATGCTATATATAAGTTTTCAGAAGAAGAAAAGTCTTTAGAGCCTAATGAAAATTAAGCTTGTCTGGTATATTTCTGAAATTGAAGGGTCAGGAAATGGAATATTCTTGACTGGCTAGATCCCTCAGTAGGAATGCTTTGTGCTGTGGCAAAGCCCCATGTTTTTAAAGAAACATATTTTTTTCTGGTCTTGGGCTTCTTTTGCTCATGTGAGTTTGGTGCCCTTTGTTCTTGATTCTCTTTCTTTACCCAGCTTAGGGTAAAGAAAATGAGAGAGTTGGAAAAGGTTATATATTTTGTTTCCTGAATAAAGAGGTTGGAAGTCTATTGGATATTTGTTGGTTAGAACAAGTGGCTTGTGCTGAAAACTGATGAAGAAAAACTTTTAAACACCTGTGCAAGTAATCTTCAAGTTACAATAGTTCACTTAGTGACTATTTGAAGTTATGTGATAACACCCCCCCCAAGTATTTACGACTCAGTCCCGAAATTACAAATTTTGCAGCACCACAGCAGGTATTCACCCTTACGAACAACTGCAGAGGCACTGCAACATTCACCCTAGTTATTCCCCCCACAACGGGTCTCCACAATTGCTTCCCCCCTCCCATCCTGCCACGCCGGACTCACTTACCTTGCAAAACTCTGTCTCCTCTCTGCCATGATTTCTTTGAGAGTGGGACAATTTCGCTTTCAGCATTTGAATGGCTTGCAAATGTTTTGCGCGAAGACTAGAAGCTTCTGGGGACCTGGATCTCACAGGACTTCAGGCCATGAGATCATGGCACCTAGAAACTTCCAGTCTCCATACAAAATGTTTGCAAGTTGATGGGATGCTTTGAGGCAGTGCGATTTCGTGTCCCACAGCTGAGAGGCTAGAGAGGAGACAGCTCGCTAGATCTTTGCTAGGTAAGTGACCTGGTGCGGCAGGATGGGGGAGGGAAGCAATTGTAGGGAGCATGAGGTATTTCGTTAGGTCGGGGAGGCCCATAGGCAGGTGGCCTGTTCCATCAGTAGGCCCTCCATGGCCTTCCCCACCCTGAAATACCTCATGTGCACTTAACGAGCCTTGCATTTGATTAGTGAATGCGTCGGCGAAAGGAGGGAGTGATCCCGTTCAAGGTACAAGATTCACTCCCATGTATCCTCGGGTTACAAATGGAATGGACAGGCCCCATTACATTCGTAACTCGAGAACTACCTGTACTCGGCAGAAAATCTTGGAATTTTAATTGAGAGATATTGATACTACTTAGCATTCTCCCAAGCAGTGATACTAACTGTGGCTTTCTGTGGCCTTTGTCATTTACAAATAGATTATTCTGCTTTTCATTGGAGGAAAATGGAATATCCCAGATAAATCTAAATTGTCTTCTTATTCAAGTGATAAGAATCCCTGATTTAAGCTGCACTATTTTAACCCATCTTTTTACAGTATAAGAAAATTGAAATTTTTGCTACGGTAGGCCTGTTCAAAATTTTGCACACTTTCCAATGGAAGAAAATGACCATCTTTGCAAAGAAATGTTCATGTGTAGCCATCTTCTCCATTGAGCACCTTACAGAGAAGTACAAGTCGATTTAGAATGTCTATCCTTAATTGCTAAAATAATATATATTTCTCTTATGTAATTCTAAGGCCAAATGAAGAATGTTCTAATAGTTACATTCTTGGCAGGTATTGTTATACACATGGAGACTGTCCACATGACTAGGCATCTACTCACTAATCAGTTCTCACATGTTATGGTTGTGTATTTCCAGTAATATCCTGTGGCCTATAACAAAAGTGCAAGAAATTTGCATGCCATTTAGTAGAATGGAAAGTCTTACAGTTACAGTTACAGTTCATATATTAATTGGATCCAGACATCATTATTATAAGGAATTTCCTGTACTAGAAATAACTGATGCAGAAATGTCACTTTGTGTTAGATTTAAAGGTACATTAATGCAATTCTCAGAATTTTTAAAGAGTTTATAAGCTTTATAGAGAGTGTTATTGGTTCTTTAAAATATGGTGGTTGATGGTTTCTTTGCATATTTGCATTCTAAAGACAAGCTGACAGGAATTCTCATGGTGTCTTTTTCCCTGTCATTTTAATGTTTAGATGAGAATTATGACATTGTAACTATAGGAGCACCAGCAGCTCACTGCCAGGCATTTAAATCTGGAGGACTGCGGAAAAAACTACATAAATTTGAAGATGCAAAGAAACAGTAAGTGGCATTTTGAATGCACACCTTTTTTGTGACTCTAGTTTTGTAAAAAAAACAGAATGCCATTCCTTCTTTTCTTTTTTATCCACACACAGAAAGTTTCAACCAAATAGCAAATAGAGATACCTTATGTGAAGAATTTAGAAGAATGATTTCCCTTTTTAAATTGATCAATGTATTTCAGCTTTTAGCAGATTTTCCTATTTATTCACATATAAAAGCTGATTAATCATGCATTGGTTAGAGACTTCCCTTGAAATTTTGTGCAAGATCTTTTGATCAGAATAGATGAATTTTCAAAGAGGTGCTTCCTTCCAGATCTCCCTCTGTTCCTGGTGCTGTTGTTTTACACACACACACACACACACACACACACACACGCTCATTTGAAGTTTTTTTCGATCACCACCTCAAGAGGGGGAAGCACCTTGTTGACCTTGTCTGAATTTAGAAATAAGGAGGGTTGGCTTTTTAGTACTTGAATGAGAGAATGGCCAGAAAATACCAGACTGTAAACTAGACTCGGAATTTTTTAAAAGAGAAATATTTTTGAAGAAGGCAAAGTTTAAACAATTTCTTCTGTGTACCTTCAAGTAAATTACATGTATTACAGCCCAAATCAGTAACATTGCTTTTTACTATGTTGCTTATTCAAGAGCAGACAGAACACTTTTCCCCATTTTTTGCTGTTGAGATGAATGATTCCATGTTTATTTCTTTTGTTTTTGCAATTTGGAGGTCTGGTGATTCTGGGTGGCTTACAATTAAAAAAGAAACAACATACTAAAAAGAAAAACAGGTTCATGTTTGTTTTGTTCGCACAGTTCTGATCCTGTGACCTGCTCCCGATAGAAACTATAGTGTAAAACAGAAACAATGTATGCCCATAAGGAAAGAGAGGTATGGAGTCAGGTGTTATGAGATGTATAAAGCATTCCTATATGATGTTACCCAGACGTGATGGCTCTAGTAGTCAAAGTCATAGAAGGAGAAGGAGGTCAAGTGGATAACCTTAATAGTTGGGAAGCTTTCATAACTGATTTTCATATATGAAATTATTTGAAACTTGAAAACACACTTATGCAATTTTCCTACTTTCTAGATGGAAAGGAGTTTAAAGGATAAAAGCAATGGGTCACATGGATATACTAGATCTTCCACAGATTTGAAATAAGTGCTAGTACTGCTGTTGCTGTGAGCAGAGGAATTATCTTTTAATTTTATCTTTTTGGATATCAGAGATTTTAACCAAAAATAAGAACATGCAAACACTGGAACCACTAAGCTTGTCAAACATTCGCAGGAACAAAATAGTTGGACACTTCTAGATAGATGTTTTGTTGCTTTAAATGCTGCCAAATCAGATACAGTTTTCCATCCACAAAACGTGGCCAATAAACAATAATATTCTAAAGTTAGTAAGTCAGAATTAAATTTAGTCTGACACTTCCTATCTGCACTTTATTTTAGTTTCATATCTTAAATCACTGCTTATTTTAGTCTGTGTTACTTGCATAACTTTTAATAATAGCTCCAGAAAAAAAATATGTCATCTACCAGGCAGTAATCCATGGGTAAATTTTCCTTTAGAAGAACCATATTTAGAAAAATCACAATCTGCATATTATTTGATGATGTTTCTTCAAGTAACTTTGTTGCCATATTAATAGCTTGTATTAAAAATAATTAATATAGCTTTTTAGATAAGCTATATCTAAAGATCTGTCTGCATATTTTGTCTTTTTGACATCTTGTAATATATGTTATGTTTGTATTCCTATGTTTACGTTAGTAGGCAGTGTGACCATTTTTCGTATTCAGTAAAACACTGTTCGTAGTTCTTTATTATGGTCAATGACCAGAATTCCACTTAAAAGGCTAAAAATTTAAAAATAAAAGTAGATATAACTATAGCTAAATAATTAGTAAGGTTCACTATAGCAGGATTTATAAACAGTAAAAATGTGACTATATCCAGAGAAACTTAATCATATCGATAGGCTATTTTGCCATTGCATGCTTGGAGCTGGGGGGTCATGCGCGCGCGTGTCCACACCCATAGTTCTATGTGCCCTGTGCATGCATGCATCACCCTCCGTCCCCGGCACGTGATGGCACAGTAGGCCCGTTTTTTGCTCCACAGCCTCCAGAGCCTTTCTAGGAGTCTGGGGAGGGCGAAAATGGGCCTTCCCCACCCCGAGGTCCTCCGGAGGCAGGAAACAGCCTGTTTCCCTACTTCTGGTGGGCCCAGAAGGCCCAAAAATTAGCTGGCCAGCGCACGCATGTGTGCTGGAGCTGAGGCCACGTGCCCATCAGTGGCACGCATGCAATAGGTTCGCCATCACAGGGCTATAGCAATTGTACAAAATATAATTCTGAATATTCGTTTGAGATACAGATGTCAGCATTCAACCACGGTGGAGGTTACATGTTTACTGTTAATTTTATATTTGTTCTTTTTTCTTTTCGTTTTTGTCTTGTGTGTAATTTTTGTTTTGTTGTTGTTTTTATTCCGTAGTTTATATTTTATCTTTGGGAAGAATAAAAAATAAATAAAATAAAACTCTGAATAAACTAGTTATTTGGCTAATAAGGAGGATATAAAATGTCACTCTTAAATGACCATGCATTTTTATGAAATAGGGATTCTGAAATTATATTTAAATGATTATGGTAATGGCTTTTGACTATTGTGCACTATTGTTTATTTGATTTGTTGCAATATATGCATTACTGGAATGCAGTGTGCTTTTAATACTAAACACACTCTGTTGGTGTAAATAGTTTTTCTCAACTTTGGCAGCTTTAAAATCTGTGGACTTCAACTCCCAGAATTCCCCAGCCAGCCTGGGGAATTCAAGGAGTTGAAGTTCAGCCATCTCAAAACTGCTAGGGATGAGAAACGCTGGTGCAGAGCACGAATTTGTGCTTTACCATTACAGACATCTCTTACAGTCTCTTTTTGAGTCCTACAAATTGCCCATACATTACTGAAACATCAAAGTTTACATTAAAAAATATTTACAAATAAAACAGATACTCTTTTATGTTTCAGACATACCAGCTATTTTTGAATGACAATAAGAATGGCAATAAGAAATGCTATTAACTAGAACACATGCCAACATTTTCCTCCAGTTGGCATGTTCTGAGTTTAAAATCTTTTCTTAAATTCCATCAATTTTGTGAAGAGATGCCTAACATTTAGCTTGCTTATTATATTTAGAGTAATTAGGTAGTAATTGGGTGGGTTGGCCCTACCAACCCTTTAACATTGGCGACTGAACTATTTTATCTTTGGAAGATCATCTTGATAGTTTGGACACAGGACTGGGATCTCCGTATTATCTTAAATTTTAAAACTGTAGGCACAGTTAGATCATTGATGGTAGCATTACCATTTATTGATTGGAAAATGAGATTAAGACTCTCTAAAGGAATGGCAGATGGCAGTCAGGGAGGGACTTGAATTCATTAGGGTATGTGCTGAATGTCTCAAAAAAATAGCTATGTGTTCTATCAGTCAGCTATAAGTTTTTCTGTGGGGTCTTATAACATTGTAGATGACATCTACCATTTTGTTTTCTTCATCTACTTGAGACAAACACACATTATTAAGAAGTATTAAAGCAATTAACATTTACCTAACATCATTTGGCTTTTGATATTTGCTAACAAATTAAAGGCTAATTTTCTTTTGGTTTCTTTTTTTTTAGCAGTTTTGAGGAAAGTTGGTGAGTTTTCTATTTCTGAGCTTAGTAGCATAGCTTTCTTCCTTTTCTAAAGCATTAACAGGGTGTATTTTATGGTTGTATCCTGATTTTGCTAATTTGCTTCATTAAGTAAATGTTTATTGAGGTATTTCATAGGCATGAATTTGTTATTTTCACCTGCATTATTTGCTTTATCAATGAACAGCTAACATTTAAAAACAACCTTTGGATTATACAAATAATTTAAGAGAGAATTGGAAATATTAAATGTATAACTGCTCATCATTAAAAAACTAAAATAATTAAATACTGTTTGAATACTTTTCCTTTTAGGAGAAAGAGAAAACGATTTGATTGGGCTTAGTTTTAAGAAGTGTTTATTTGAAAAGGAGATAGTAGACACCAAGCTTATTTTGTTAAAAATTGCAGTGCTGAGGATCAAAATGTCTTCATATTATCTCATCTAGCCTAGAAGCCATTATCCTTATCATTCAGATATTTTTAGGTCAGTGGTATGATGTTGCTAAAACATCTAACCACATTACCAAATGAGCCTAGACATTAAAGGAAATTCTATCAGCTATGTTTAGACTCTGGTGATTAGATATTTCTACTATTTGTCCTAGGGGTGTGGCAAAGAGACTAGTTGCAGTTTATGTGAATATATGACTCTCCCAAAGGCTGATTTATTCATTTTGTGTACACAAAGAGGCTCATTTTTAAGATAAGGGATCAGCTTTTACACAAAAAGTTTACATAGATTTGGATCAGATATGAACTAAAACTTTAATCCATGCACATGAATTGACAGTTATACTTCCAAGCATTAGATAATTGGCCTATGTATCCATGGAACTACACTGTTATGTTTGAAAGAGTGTGACCTAGGGTCTTTAATAGCAAAAGTTGGACTGCTTTAGTCTACTTAATCCTAAATTTAAAAAGAAATAAAATTTTACCTTTGGTGGGGAGATGGATACAATTTTATTTTCCAGTTAAAAGCCAGTGAAGGATGATAGCTGTTCATTTGAGAGAATGGTCATGAGAAGCTAATTGAATTATTTCCTTTGATTCCAGCAAAAGATTTGCTTTGCTTCTTTTTTGAGAATGAGTCTAACACAAATAATGCTGCATGTAGTTTGCTACTGCATATAGATTGATTCTGCATGATGTCTCTCTTTCAAATAAGATGCATATATTGCTATAATGGTTGATAAAAATATTTAAAAGCCTGAGCCTTTAGATCTGTCCTTAAAATAAACAATCTGTATCACATTTTAAAGAAAACTCCTATAATAATTTTGAAGTCCTTTTAAAAATAAAAATACATACTTTTTCTGTTTTTTCCTTTTTTATTACAGCCTAAATCCTTTCCTCTAAAAATGTATTTTTCCAGATAGCTGAACAAAGCTTTGGTTAATAGCTTTTAAAGTATTAGCTAGATTCTTTCAAAGATAGATTTGAAATTTATTAAAAGGAAGAGATGTTGTTTCAAGACTCGTACTATCAAAAACATTTTTGGACAATTCCCTGCTTCAATTTTACATTGGGAGCTGATTCTGAAAACTTGCATTGTTTCTGAAGCATTGTTTTATGTTAAATGAATGCATTCTGTTAAATAAATCTGTTTTGCTGTGAATGAACTGATAATCTGAAATTTGCAGTGGGACATGGAAGGAAGCTATCTGCCAAGAGAAAGGAATTAGACTCCCATTTTTACTTTTCCAGATACATTGTGTGAACTACTAACTAAGCTGATGGCTCTCCAGCAACAATAGATGGTAGACCATATATCTGGATTTACAAAAACAAATCCAGATATAAGGAAGGGAAGGGAAGTCAAATAGCTAGGTCTTACTATAAATCTATATTGAGTTACATTTGGCTCAGCTAGTCATCTAAAATAGTGCAAATCTGGGTTTATTAAGCAAGATTCTGACATTGGCAAGAAAAACAGAGCCATATGAAACTTCAATCATCTTGAGCAATTACACAGTTGTGAAAAGGATAATATAGCAGTAGTATTTTCTAAGATGAACCTGGAAATCTTTGCAGGCAAATGGGTCGGTCATCCATTTGAATGAATAAATTATGCTTAGCCAAAGAATCAGATTAACAGGATTAATTCTGTTAATTCTGTATAATTCTATATTGCTTCATTGTTTGATTGGCAGTTTTCTGTTCCTTGTGTGGCTTCTGAGTAATCACATGGCATGTTTGATAAATACATCTTGTTCAAATGCTTTCATCTTGTGCATCTCAAGATAGTTTGAATAAGATGGTTGCAACATAGTAGATTGTCAGTCTTTGTACTTGGTGGCTTGATAGTTAGAACAAGATCCCAAACTAATATCTTCCACTATTTTTTAAAAATTACTCTTTTTTCCCCTTGTTGTCAGCACTGCAAACAATTCTCAGTCTATAATATACATACCGCAGGATATTATTCGAGCAAAGGAGATTATTGCACAGATCAATACCCTGAAAACTCAAGTTAGTTACTATGCAGAAAGACTTTCCAGAGCTGCCAAGGATAAATCAGCGAATGGACTTGAGAGAACACTTGCCATTTTGGCAGATAAGGTAAGGGATTTGTTCACCCTCCCCTATGTACCATTGAGATCCCTCTTTAACTTAATATTAACTGAATATTCTTATACTGTAATAATAACAAAACATTTCGCAGTTTTGAATTTCCTTCTCTGTAGACCTGCCAAAATCTGAGAATTCTGAAAGGGCTACAAGAACTTATATTTATTTGGTCTATATTTAATGGTCAGTAATGAGCCCTAAACCTCTCTAACCTCAGTTTATAAGATTATTGTATTTTATTACACTTGATCTAATATATCCCATCTACTTTAAGTCCTACTGCTACAGCAGACTAGACCTGAGGCAAAAAGATTCTCCTTCTCCAACCTTCATTTCTGTTGTGAAAATTTAAAAACTAATATCATAAATCTTGGTGATGGTTAGGGCTGTAAAGCAACATTCTTCAAATTGCTAATCAGTATTCTTTGGGGGAAAAATCTTTATGTCCCTGATCATTTTTTCATGTAATGGTATCCATCTCAGTGCCGACTGCTTCCTGTTAATCATGTTATATTTCCTTGCTGTACTGTAATTACATTCACATGACATTAAATTTAGTTTCTTTTAACAATAAGCCATAATTGGTGGGATCCATACAACATATTATCAAATGAAGGTTATATGCCACAATGTCTAGGTTACACAACATATTAAGGTAAGAAAGGTTATTGCTTAGTGTGTTGTATGAATCAATTCATTGAATTCAAATTGAAATTAAATTCACAGTGAAATGCTATAGAAAGAGTTATAAAATAAACACAATAGAATATATTTTTCTATGATAAATTCTATGGGTAGCTGTGCTCTCAATTGGCACTGTAATGGAAAGATTGTGTGTCTGCCTCAATCAGTACCTAGATCACTAATCGCATGAAAAAACCATCTTAGCAGGTTTTTAGTATGCTAAAATAACCTTTTTATTTGTTAAGTTTTGTGCCTTAGCCATAAGGCTAAATCATGTCCAGATTTGTTAAGAAAAGCGTACCTTGTATTAAACTGTTTTTAAAAAGTGACATAATTTTGGATTGTTACTGAGTTTGTTTACTTTACTACTTCAGTAGTGTTGGGATTGGATAGCAATAAAGAATGATATTATAAAATAGACGTTGTTTGCAAATATTGTGTGTCATCTTTATCCTTTCTAGACCCGGCAGCTTGTCACTGTCTGTGACTGCAAGCTGTTGGCAAATTCAATTCACGCCCTGAATGCTGCAAGACCAGATTATATAGCTTCAAAGGCTTCTCCAACATCTACAGAAGGAGAACAAGTGGTGCTAAGAAATGACCAAGATACTTTGGTGGCCAGGTGGGCAGGAAGAAATAGCCGTTCTTCTCTACAGGTGGATTGGCACGAAGAAGAGTGGGTAGGCTGTTACCTTAAAATTCCATTCCTATACTACAGTGAATCTTAATTCAGACAATTCCTTTTTGTGAAATTACAGCTCCCAGGTATTTGATCGTGTTTTGTGGGTTAGAGACTATGTTTAAAATGTTTTGAATGAGCAAAAGGCATGGTGGGCATTAATCAGTGATGCACAGTGAAAGTAACATGGATTTTTGCATCTTTTTTTCTTTGTGCTATAAATACAGTGACCATATTTTTTTTGGAAAAAAATGAAAGACAAATCTGAAAAAGAGACAACTCGGAAAGAGGTTCTCAAGGATAAGAGAAATAAGTATTTAGGTTTATAATTTTGCTTTACAAAGGAAAAATCAGGAGCAAAACCAGGAAAATAATTGTTAAATAAATCTAAAGGACAGTTTTCTGAAATAAAGGGCTGTCCTTTATAAGAAAGGATTATGATCACTGTAGTTATAAATGATGTTAAGCCTGTTTTAGAGCCTGTGTTCCAATTGTCATATTTCTATTTAAAAAGAATTGGTAAAAATCCATGCACCCAATTGTGGCAATCATTTTTGGAAGGTGCTTTGATGCTTCTGGAGCCCTTCGTTTATTAATTCCGGCAGACTCTACAGATTACACTAAGTCATAATCTGACTTAAGTATAGTTTGTGGAATAAGTCATTGGGTTCATATATAGTGAACCTAGGAACCACAACAGCTGAGGTCATGCAACTCTTGCAATAAACAAATGGCATGGTGACTTAAAGCAATCTGTGACCCCAGACATTGGGTGTTCACTTCTTTTTCTCTACTTCTGTTTCTATTTTTTGAGTTGCCAGTAAAAATGGAGCAGCTAAATTTATTTATTTGTTAAATTTATTTGCCGCCTATCTTGCTATGGAGTTAATTCTAGGTATCTTGGAGATGTGATGATTTCCCAATTATTAATTGGAAAGTAGTAAATGAACTGAGAGTCTTTGCAGTTTTGTCCCGAAGAAAATAATATTATGTTACCCTGTTGCCCAATTAGATGGAAATGGTTAGTATGTTTCTTTATTTCCTTTTAATCGATGTGCATGCTTTCTACGGATTACTGAAAGTAGTGAAAATAGTGTTTTCAAAATATTATTTCAATATACTTCTTTCTTTCTTTTCATTATACTGGGCACACCAGTATGTCATTGATCCCTTTCTGTTTGTCCCTTCCCAGGAAAAAGTCTGGGTGAATGTTGATAAAAGTCTTGAATGCATTATCCAGAGGGTAGACAAGCTTCTCCAGAAAGAACGATTACAAAGTGATAGCTGTGAAGATGTCTTCCTGTGTGAAGTCAGCTGCTCTAGCAAGAAAGGTAAACAAGATACCCGTGCATACTGGATAAAGCCAGAGATCTTAAATGAAATCATCTCATCTTCATCATCCCCACCATCATCTTCATCCATTTCATCCTCTGCATGCCATTTTCCCAGAATCACAAGTGCGTATGACAGCCATGGCTTTTTGCTGTTGCCATTTTGTTCTGCTTTGTTGCATTTCTTAGCTCTTCCTTAATCATGATCCATGTATTGTAAGCATTTCTTGGTATACTAGGAACCTTCATTTAACAGTAAGGTCCCAGGAATGAAAGAGCCATGGTCTTTTTGTTGTATTTCCATTTTGAATTTTCAGACCATTTCCTAAAAAGGATTAAATAGGGAGTGCTTCTAATCACTCTCCAAAAAGCTATAGTAGAAGTTTGATTTTCTATGGAGATTCTTAATAATCCAGGTCATGGTTGTCCCAAAGGTGCTTCTTCCAAAAGGCAACTGGATTTTCTTGTTGTTGTTTTTTTCTTTAAAAACATTTCACTTCTCATTCAAGAAGCTTCTTCAGTTCAGAAGTTCAGAACTGAAGAAGCTTCGTGGATAAAAAGTGAAATGTCTTCAAAGAAAAAACCCCAAGAAAATCCAGTTGCCTTTTGGAAGAAGCATCTTTGGGAGTAAAAGCTAACTAGATTATTTTATCAGAAGTACATAACATGGTGCTCTTAGGCACCACTGTGCCTGTAGACATTAATCTTTTCATCAGTTCCATTCCATGCCTTAATTAATTTTCTTTATATTCTTGAAATTAAAAAAATAAAGAACTCCAGACTCTAGTTTCAGTATTTATAAAAATGTCTGACGGCCCTGCATATACCTGAAGATAGAAAAATTGCCCAGTGATATTTTCAGAAGTAAGTTTATCTCCTAATTAAGAAATCAACTGATTATTTCAAATTAGTTGATATTTTAGGATACTTTCATATATTATGTGGCATGCTTTCTATGGGCAAATAATCTAAAAGGTAGGCTGGTATTTCGTTCCCTCTATTGCGGATGGAAGTAAGACACTGAGGCGGGAACATGGCTTGTTTCAAGCCACCTAGTAAGTACTTGGTTAGGTTGAAGACCTTAAGTGCTGCAATATGTTTCAGAGACCAGAGGTATTCATACTGTACAACATTTATGTGTGTGTGTGTGTGTATGAACATATGTATTACTATGCCTTTTCAGCAAGATGACCAAAGCAACATAAAAGAAGTAAAAGACATTAAAATATACATAGAAATATAAATCGTGCAAGAAAGGAATAATGTGTTTCTTCTGTGCATAGAACAAAGACATTGTGGCTTGGAAATTGAGCTGGACCATTCTGGACAGAGCTTTGCAGTCTGGCAAAACAAAAACCTCTTGGTGATTCAGGGTTTGAGCTGAACTCTAGAGGAGTCTTAAAGTGCAAGTAGGGGAAGGCTGGTGCACCTTGCTTCTCTCTCCCCTCCCTTTCCAAGTGGCCTAGACACCTGTCCCTCCAGTGATATTATCACTCCTTCCTTCCTGTACCTCCATTTAGCTGTGTGCCACCAGTAACCTCACTGTGCTTTAGATCAGGGTTCTCCAACCATGACAACTTTAAGACTTGTGGACTTCAATTCCCAGAGTTCCTCAGCCAGCAAAGCTGAAGTCTTAAAGTTGCCAAAGGTGGAGACCCCTGCTTTAGATGACTCCAATTGGCTATGCTTCCCCGACCTCCCATCTTCCTGCACCTTCTTTTCACTTGTCTCCCACTGCTATCTACACAGCACCATCATCACATTGCATTACAAAACCAACCACCCCAACTGCCCTTTCACATCTCTCCACACCTTGTCGTATGACCCCTTCTTCATCATTGTGAATGATCCATTTGTCCACCCTTTCCTATCATATCTCTGTGCTTTTCTTTCCTCTATCTCCTTTTGACTGCTGCTACCACCTAGGGCTTTCCCTTTTTTTATTTCATCCTAAGAGACCGGCTGACAGGAGGGAGTCTGGATCCAATTCATAACCTTTATTTAACCATAACAATACAATAGAACCAACACATCCCGCGCTAAACAGCTCCTTTTATATCGCCGAGCTGTCAACTAACAACCAATGAAATCCTAGGCTGCGAATGACCAATAAGAACACCCGGCAACTAGCCTCAATATATAACACCCCTTCCCACCAAGATGAGCGTGCGCCACATCAGGCGCATGCGTAATCACTTAAATAGGCCGGTCTTCTACGTATACGTCCGGAACGCCGGATCTCCACCCCTTCCCGTGGCGGTGAATTCGAACTTTCCTTCTGGAATCGAGCGTCCTCCTTCCGTGGTCTATCTTCGCGCCCAACCTCCCTGGCCCGGTCGCCTCTAACGGGTGATGGTAAGCCCTCTGACCCTTCATTACCAGGTGTGTGTGTTTTATCTAGCTGGTGATTCTCCTCGCCACCCCCTTCCTGCCTATCGTCCTGTGTGTCTGGCTCCTCCTCTCGTCCCCTATTGTCTGACAATTTTTTCCGGGCCCGCAATTGATCCTTGTGGCGCTTCCAAATTCTTCCTTGTTCCATCTCTATGTGGTAAGAACACGGCCCCGCTATTCCTACTACCGTCCCTGCTAACCACAACGGCAATCCCCCATAATTCCTGGCATATACCCCGTCTCCTATGCTAAACTGACGATATTGTCTCCGCGAATCTAATGGCTTGGAATGCCCATAAGAGGGGTGTAACCTGTCTAATGTCGTGCGCAGCTTCCGACCCATTAACATCTCGGCGGGGCTTCTATTAGTGAGTTGGCACGGTGTGGAATGCTGGGCAATTAAGAATTCCTCTACCCTTTCTCCCCAAGTACCGTGCCCAATCTTCTTGAGGGCCTCCTTCGCGGATCTCACAGCGCGTTCCGCACATCCGTTACTAGACGGATGGAATGGCGAGATTAAACAATGACGGATCCCCCTATGTGTCAGGAACCCCTCAAATTCGGCAGCCGTAAATTGAGGACCATTATCTGAAACAATAACATCAGGCAGCCCATGGGTAATGAACAGATTGCGCAAAGCATTAATGATGGCCCCCGCCGTAGTGGAGCGCATGGGTATTACCTCCACCCACTTAGAATATGCATCCACCAGTACCAGGAATGACTGGCCCTGTAGTGGGCCAGCCAGGTCTATGTGCAACCGTGACCAGGGGGCCCCAGGAGCTTCCCACGCCCCCGGCAAGTCCTTGGCCGGCAACGGCAGGTTAACCTGACACTGAGTGCAGGTGGAGACCCACTCCGAGATGTCCCGATCCATCAACGGCCACCACATGTAACATCAGCCCAAAGCCTTCATACGCACCACCCCCGGGTGACCCCTATGCAATTGTTTTAACAATGAATGGCGAAGTGGCGGCGGAATAACCACCCGGTGGCCCCATAGGAGGCAACCAGCTTGGGTGGACAGTTCGAGGCGTCGCGTGGCATATGGTTGAAATTCTGGAGCGAACGGTCCCTGAGGCCAACCCCTGGCCATCCAGTCCATCACTTTTGACAGGGTAGAGTCCTTTGCAGAGAATCGTGCGACGTCCGATGCGGTGACCAACAGGGGGAAGTCGGTCAGCAAGAAAACAGAAGAGACTGGAACTGGGTCCGCCAGGAGGTCCGGAACGGGGCAGCGGCTCAACGCGTCCGCGTGAGCCAAATCCTTGCCCGGACGGTGCACTAGTTTATAGGAGTAAGCAGCTAAAAAAACAGAGTAACGAGTCATTCGGGGAGACAGAATTTGGGGGGCTTGGCGATCACCAGCCAATATACCTAACAACGGTTTGTGATCAGTATATAAAACAAAAGGGCGGCCGTACAGGTAATGGTGGAATCGTTTGACCCCGGCCACCAGGGCGAGAGCCTCTTTATCCAGTTGCGAGTAATTACGCTCTGCAGGAGCCAAGGTTTTAGAAAAGTAAGCAACTGGGAGCTCGCGGCCCGAGGGCAAGACATGGCTTAACACCGCCCCCACCCCATACGGAGAAGCATCACAAGCCAAGGTCACGGGAAGGTGGGCGGAAAATTGCGTTAGAACGGAATTGGAGATTAGGAGGCATTTCATGGCCAGGAAAGCAGCCTCCTCCCTGGCACCCCAACGCCAAGTCACAGTCCGGTGCAATAAACGGTGTAAGGGTTCGGCCACCGATGCTTTATGTGGAATAAAAACTGAATAAAAATTAAGTAACCCCAGGAAGGATTGAAGGTCAGCCTTACATTTGGGGGTTGGCGCATCCATAATGGCAGCGGTCTTTGCAGCCGTCGGATGAATCCCCGAACCATCGACTTGGAACCCTAGGAATTCTACCTGGCGTACAGCAACTTGACATTTATCTCTTTTGACCTTGAGTCCCGCAGCGTCAAACTTCCGAAGGACTTGCCTCAACCGGTCCATCAACTGTGATGTCGAGGTGGCTGCGACGAGGACGTCGTCGAAATAAGGAATGACCCCGGGGATTCCCTGAAGCATACGTTCCATCATGCTCTGGAAAATCCCCGGGGCGACACTAACCCCAAACTGCAGCCGGCGACATCTGAACGCCCCCCGGTGGGTCACAATTGTCTGCGCATCAGCAGTCTGATCGTCCACCTGTAATTGCTGATACGCTTGGGCCAGGTCCAGTTTTGCAAAGACTGACCCCTGGCCCAAGGAGTGCAGCAGATGTTGCACTATAGGTACAGGATAAGCATGACCCAGGAGGGCCTTATTTAGTGTTGCCCGATAGTCAGCACAAATGCGGATTGATCCATCCGCTTTAACAGGTGTGACAATAGGCGTCTCCCAATTGGCAAATTCAACAGGTTCTAACACACCCTGAGAGATTAATTTATCCAGTTCAGTGTCCACTCTCTCCCTCAAGGCAAAAGGAACCCTGCGAGGTTTCAGGCGGCGAGGGGGCACGCTAGGATCTAGGCTAAATGAAACTGGGGGCCCCTTATAACAGCCCAGGCTGCCATCGAACACCGCTGGGAATTCTTGAATTAGTGAATCCAATTCAGATGAGCGGATTGCATTTATCCCCTGAATTGTAAAACCCAGAGCCTGGAACCAATTCAACCCCAATAAACTGGGTAGTGGGGCTTCCACGACCACTAACGGCAAGCGGCCAGAAAAGGACTTAAATTGTATC